CAACTTTCAAAATCGTCATTTTGGGGAACCAACTTGCACCTCATTCATATTTTGGGGAACCAACTTGCAAAATAATTATAGAAAAATAGCTAAAATTCGTTTTTTCCAAAAATTAATGCAATAAAATCTATTTTTCATTTCAAATCTCTTTTTTTTAATTCAAATATCAAATTGAACATTTAAAACAAATCAAAATTACCACAATAAAAATTATTTTTTACTAATGCAAAAAAAAAATCAATTTAATTGAAAAAAAGCAATTTTTCCCTAATATTTGTTAAATTGATTTTTTTTTTCATTAGTAAAAAACAATTTTTATTGTTGTACTTTGGATTTTTTTTTTTAAATGTTCAATTGATATTTGAATTAAAAAAATGAGATTTGAAATGAAAAATATATTTTATTGCATTAATTTTTGGAAAAAAACGAATTTTAGTTATTTTTCTATAATTATTTTGCAAGTCCAAAATAAGAATCAGATGCAAGTTGGTTCTCCAAATAACGACTTTGAAAGTTGGTTGCTCAAAATAAAAATGAGACAAAAATTGGTTCCATTTTGATACAATTTTTCACATTTTAATTAGATTTTTAATTTTTAAAATAAAAATCCAACTTGTCACAAAAATGGAAGAAAATGGTAGTGAGATTATGGGCCAAAGCCCAACTGATATATTGATACGGGTGTTGTCCGTCCGTGCCCACGTGTATCTCCTGGTTGATCGTCGCGGTAAATAAGGCGGCAAAAGGCGAGGCAACACGCACTTCCCATGGAGCTCTTCTGCATTTGATCCACTCCCACCTTCTTTCCTCTTTCGCGCCATTCATCCGTTACTCTCCCTTTGCTCTCCAGCTTTATTACTCCACTACTAGTCGATCAAAACCCTAATAACCTCTCTTATCCATAGCCATGGCAGACGGTCACTTGTTCAACAACATCTCTCTTGTCGGCCGCGGCGGCACCGTAAGTTACCCTTTTCATATTCATGCCGTTTTTTTCTTTTTCTTTTTGGTGTTAAGTTTACTTAATTCTGTTCAAAACCCTAACTCTATTTTAAGGTGAAACAGTGACGGATATGTACGGTCCATAAATGTGTGTATTCTTTTCCGATCAATTAGGTAGAATTGTCTTTTTTTTTTTTTCTTGGGGTTTTCTTTCCTTTTCTCTTGGAATTTTGATATTTGTTGGTTCGAGGGTGCAGACCGCAAAATCGGCTTGTTTTACGCGGTCCATGTGTATTACTGTTTGTGCTATTTATATAGATCAATGTTAACTTGAATGGTGGACACCATACAGGATATGATAGTTGAACTGGAATGAAGTCGCAACGCAACAATTTTGATAAAATTGAGTATTTTGTTTATATACCTAAAAGCCTCATTTTATTTGTGCTCGAGTCTTGGAATTTAAGTGCACTTACGTGAACCTTAAAGCGTTTTAGGGTTTGCTTGCTTGCTTGCTTTGTTCGTTAGATTTTTGGTACTTAAAAGGAGTTAACTTTTAGTTGTTGGCTGGTGTCATATATGTTAAACTTTAAAGGAATAAATGTCTAAACCATCTATTTGTTTTATGCTTGCTGGGACAATGCAGAATCCAGGGCAACTTAGGGTTCATTCACGGGGTCTGCTATGGAAGAAACAAGGAGGCGGCAAGGCTGTGGAAGTGGACAAGGCTGATATTGTGCGAATAACTTGGATGAAGGTGCCACGAAGCAATCAGCTTGGTGTGCAGATTAAGGACGGTCTCAGATATAAATTCACTGGTTTCCGTGATCAGGTATATTTTTTATGCTCTCTCACTGCATTTTCTCTTTGAATGTACTTATTTCATTGACATGTAACAGTCTTCTAAACAGTTCGAGTTATCAAGTTCATACGTTGAGCATCTATTGCAGTGCTAAGAACCTTTTTGTTACCCGAGGCTTATGGGACATCCTGTTGGTTATCATTTGCTATGAGGGAGCATGTCATTAAGATTTTTCACATGCTTAATCTATGCCGATAAAGTTCAGTACTTGTGGGCAATGAACCTCAAAGTATTTGCGGTCTTAGAATTTTTAGTGATTGGATCATCTTAAGCTTAAACGATCTCGTCATGTTTGTTCAATTTATACTGCTTAGTCATGCTTTACATTGCTTTCTGGGAAAATCTTATCTTTAACTAGTGTTACAAGTTCTGAATATATAAATGCAATTTAAGAAAGACATCTACTACCTGTTATCTTATCACCTAAGCAGTAAGCGCACCCAAGAAGGGCGCCTCTTCTGACTTCCCATCATTTTTGCTTCCAGTTCCAGTCTTTTCAGGGTTGCAAACTCAATTACGAGTTTGTGCTTGTTGCAGGAATTAACAGAGACAAAAATAGTTGTGAATTGTTTGTTTATGAAAAAATCTTGACAGAAGTCTGTTGAGTTGCTCTATTTCATTGTTTCATGAAGATCTATATGTAAAAGATCTATTCTGAAGTCACTTTGTTCTGTTCTGTTGCTCTGATTGCAGGATGTGTCTAGCCTGACCAATTTCTTCCAGAACTCTTGTGGCATAGCGCCAGAAGAGAAGCAGCTTTCAGTTAGTGGAAAGAACTGGGGAGAACTCGATATAAATGGTTGGTCATCTTTTCAGAGCTTTTTGTGTGTTATTGTGAGTTTAGTGCTAAGCTTGTTATCACTGTAGATTGTATTTTTATCCTGTGGTTGAATGTTTAGGATAAGGAGAAAATTTTGCATGGACAACTGAAATGAACTATAATTTTTTTTTCTGTTGTTCTAGCATCTTATAATACCAGACATAATGTTTCATGAGTGCATTTGGTGGTGGCGAACACAAAATCACTTGTATCCAATCATTTTAGACACATTCATGTGGTTGTGGTTATTATCGTGTGGGCCTAGTTGATCCTCTCAGTGCTTTTTTCGTTTCAAAGTTTCACATGTTTTTCTATTGGATGTTGCTCAGGTAATATGCTTTCTTTTATTGTTGGTTCGAAGCAAGCGTTTGAAGTGTCTTTAGCTGATGTCTCCCAGACACAGCTTCAAGGAAAGAATGATGTTATCCTGGAGTTCCACGTGGATGACACAACTGGTGCAAATGAGGTCTCTTAACTTCTCTTTTTTTCATTGTTCTGTAGATTTTTCTACTTATTATGCTTCCTTATGCTTTCTAAACTTGAAGGTCTTTGGAGTTCTAAACTTGGAGTCTTGTTTTCTTAAGCTATTTATTGTCAATGCAGAAAGATTCTTTGATGGAAATGAGTTTCCACATTCCCAATTCTAACACTCAGTTTGTTGGGGATGAAAATTGTCCTCCTGCACAAGTAAGTTGCCCGAATTTATTCATTACTGCATTTGTAGTTATGTGTTGTATTTTCTAATCTCTTTGTTACATTATATCAGGTTTTCCGACAGACGATAACAAATATTGCGGATGTTGGGGCTGGAGGTGAGGAAGCTGTTGTCACGTTTGAGACCATCACAATTCTTACTCCAAGGTAGGGTATCTGCTTGCTTGTGTCGACGGGTGTTTTTTTTGGCTCTTTTTTCAAGGAATGTAATGGAAGTCACTTCTTATTCTAGGGGCCGATACAATGTTGAACTTCACCTTTCGTTTCTGCGGCTTCAAGGGCAAGCCACTGACTTCAAAATTCAGTACAGCAGCATAGTTCGTGTTTTTGTGTTGCCTAAGGTTTTTTTTTGATCTCTCTCACAAGACACAGAATTGTTTCGAGTCATGACATTACATGTAGCTATTGGTTAATTCAGTTGCTTGATAACTGACTAATGCATTTCTCTTTCTATAGAAGACAATGTGTTTAGTTATTGCTGCTTGACCACTTGCTTCCAGCAATCAGACATATTGAATTATTTCAAATCCCTCTTTGCTTATCAGTCTAATCAACCTCAGACACTTGTTGATTTTTTTTTCGTATCCCTCTTTGCTTATGCAGTCTAATCAACCTCATACCTTTGTTGTTGTTACTCTGGATCCTCCTATCCGAAAAGGTCAAACCTTGTATCCACATATTGTGATGCAGGTACCATTGCTATGCTGTGTTTCCAATTATTCTCACAACTCTGTCCTGCATAGGATGTTCATTTGATGTCCTGTTTGTTTGTGTTGGTGCAGTTTGAAACCGATTATGTGGTGGAGAGCACTTTGATGATGAATGAGGAATTGTATGCTACCAAATACAAAGACAAGTTAGAACCATCATATAAGGTAATAATTGTTAACAGGTCTTGTATTTAAGCTACTGTTGTAGAATCAGCTTACTGTCTGAATGATGATAACATGTGTGAAAGGGTTTCTGTTAGTTTTTGAGTGCAAGTCTGAATGGATTCTTTTTTTATTAGTTTTTACAATGTACATGCTTTAACAGGGTCTTATTCATGAAGTGTTCACGATGATCTTGCGGGGCTTGTCTGGTACAAAGCTCACCAGACCTGGGAAGTTCCGTAGTTGTCAGGATGGTTATGCGGTGAAGTCTTCATTAAAAGCTGAAGATGGTGTCCTTTATCCTCTTGAGAAGAGCTTTTTCTTCTTACCAAAACCTCCTACACTTGTTCTTCATGATGAGGTATGATGCTAGTTTATGTGGTTCATGTGTGAAGCCATGAATCAGGTTCTAGTTGAACCTGGTAGGCATATAACACTACCAAATGGATTGATTCATTTTGTTTATAGATTGACTATGTGGAATTTGAGAGGCATGCTGCTGGAGGATCAAACATGCATTACTTTGATCTTCTTATCAGACTCAAGACAGAGCAGGAGCATCTTTTCCGAAACATTCAGAGAAATGAATACCATAACCTGTTTGATTTTATTAGGTGAGTGAACGGATTATTTTGTTGAGATTGCTAATGTGGATGACTGATATTATTCTGTTAATGCAGTTCAAAGGGTCTAAAAATCATGAACCTGGGAGGTGGTGTCCAAACTACAGATGGCGTTGCAGCTGTTCTGCGGGATGAGGAGGATGATGCTGTTGACCCTCACCTCGAACGAATAAAGAATGAAGCTGGTGGAGAAGAGAGTGATGAGGAGGTAAGCCTCTCAATCTTTTTTCATCTGCTTGGCTTAACCAGTGCAAAAAGCTTTGTCTATGATATCTATACCGTGGATTGTTAGTTACTTGGTTCTTGCACCCTCTCTCATTCAATTTGTGACCTTTTTGTAAGTATATAATTCTATATGGCAAAACTCGTACACTCCTCACCTCTGATGAGGCCTGAACCCTTGACCTCCGGGGAGGGTGGACCCTACCGGTAACCCATATACCGCTGGGCCAATGATCCTTGTGGTAGTGCTAACACCTTTTCTCTCCCTTATCTTTGACACTGAAATATTATGATGACAGGATGAGGATTTTGTTGCCGACAAGGAGGATGATGGCTCACCTACCGATGATTCTGGGGGAGATGACTCAGATAGTGCGAGTGATGGGGAAAAGGAGGTAATTGATCAAAATAAATTATGCCTTCCCTCGAATGATATTTTCTAGAAATCAGAACCATTTATACACTGTTGATAACAGAGAATTCCCAAAAAGGAAACCAAGAAGGAAGCTATTGCATCTAAAACATCTTCTACTAAGAAGAGAGGCAAAGGTGGCGATGATGATAGTTTAAAGAAAAAGAAACAGAAGAAGAAAAAGGATCCAAATGCACCAAAGAGAGCAATGAGTGGCTTCATGTTCTTCTCACAGCTAGAACGAGAGGTTAGTTAAATTAACATTTCATATTACCAGCTTTTTGTTATAATCATTATATATTATATTATTGCTGTCATCATCATTATATTTTTTCATTTGAGGAAGAAAACTTATCCCGTTAAAATGTCTGTTTGGAGGTTCTGGTTTAAGGCTACGAGTGCTTGTAAATGATGGTTGGTGAACCATATATTTCTCTTATTGGTAGTTCTGCAAATGGGTTAATTGTCGCTAGCCTTGTATATTACTCCCCCCGTCCTAAAATAGATGTCCACAATTTCAAAGGCACACATTTCTAGGAATGCGTAATTATTATACTTTAATTAACTAAATGACAATTTTACCATCAAGATAAGGAAGTAAAGAATTTCCCATCTCACTATTAATGATAGAATTGGAAGTAGATTTTGAAAATGGACGTTTTTTTGGGGGACAAACTGAAATAGAAATGTGGACACCTGCATTGGGACGGAGGGAGTACAATTTTGTGTTTATGCTGCTGCCTGCAAATTATTACCTTATGTTAACTTGATAATTGCAACATTAGAAAGATTATGTTGTTGATGGGTGTTATGTTTGCTACTACTTAAGAATGTGAAGAAGGACATCCCGGGTATTGCATTTAAAGAAATCGGGAGGGTTCTTGGAGAGCGATGGAATAAATTGTCAGGTTTGTAAGCAACGCGTTACACTTAGTTAAGCTTTGTTGTGATAAAATAAAATGTATATTCTGATTCTACTTGCTGCTGCTGGTTTACTTAAACAGCGGAAGAGAAGGCGCCATATGAAGCAAGAGCTCAGGCAGACAAGAAGAGGTATCAAAGTGAAATCAGTGACTACAAGAACCCACAACCCGCCACCACCAATTTGGTGGACGAATCCGACAGTAATTAGAACATGTTCCATGAGGGTATGCTATGGTAGTTTTATACTTGATTAGTGGTTATAAAACCCAAAATAAGTATGTAGTAGGAGGTTATTTTGGGTATAAATTTATGTGGTCAAAATTATTTGTGTTTGTGCTATGTTAGCATAATATTCGTATTTATAAACTTAGATATTGTTATGTTAATTTCCCAATGTAGCAATTTTTACTCGTTAGGATTACTTTCATGGAAGAGAAGGCTCGGGTGATATGCATCGTGATTACGATGACTTTGATCCAAATATCACTGTTTAAAGATATCGCATACGAAATAAATGTCGTATATATATTTTTTTGGTAAGGGTCTGTGTTTGTTTGTTTACGGTCGAAACATGATATTAATGTAAGTGGTAAGGGTCTGTGTTTGTTTGTTTACGGTCGAAACACGATATTGATGTCATAACATAGCCAATCAAGCAGGATGAAGTATGGTGCAACACAGAAGAATACATGTTACAAAGATTTCACACCTTGTATTTCATTACCTATTAAACGTGTTTGTAATAAATTGATATACTTTTTTTCGCAGAAGAAGGGCTCAATTATTGTTTGCTTATAAGTATGTAACTCTTTAGCTTTTGACGTGTAGCTTAGTTGGTAAAAAGGTGGGAGACTTTGCTTAAATTCCCTGGGTTCGATCTCAGGCCCCATGTTAGCCTCAGACGTTGAGTGAGCCAAAAAATGTCCCTCACATTGATGTCCTTAAAGACGGGTTTTGTGTGGAGGAGGAGTTGCCGGTAATCAACTTTTAGTCCAAATATGCAACTTTTATATGATGTTGTGAAGGGTCTGAACCACGTACTAGCATAATCACCACCTTCACTTATTTATCGGGTAATATGCTTCGCCATCAACAGGTATTGTAGGTAAACGTCTTTCACCTGGTGAATCCGGTAAGCGCGTAACGGGTTTTCAATTACCGGGTAAGATCAAACTCTTATCAAATAAGATTTTCGGTCATTGTCATGCTTATCCGGTAAATGACTATCCCAACTCTAATCGTATAAACACTAGATAGACAACTTGTCATGTCCAGTCTTATCCGGTCATGTAAATGAAGCTTATTTTAGAAATCAAGATTACAAATGTACCGGAAAAGCGAAAAGAGATAACTAGATGTTATACATGTAACATGTGCGCATGACGTTTATTTGGTATAGACCCTTTAAATGCGATACCGAGACATTATGATTCACATAACAAGGTGCCAAGTACATGGGAAGAAAATAATCGTAGATAATGACGAAGTCCATCAATTGGGATCCCATTAAAAGCGATTGGTCATTGCTCTTTTGAATACATCATCAATCAGATTGGTCATAACCTGTGTTGCAAATGCGATCATAACAAACATATTGATAAGAACCTTACTTTCGCATAAGTTGTAATATAATTGATCTTGTTTAATTTAGTAAAATCCAGAAACCCTTAAAAATTTAAATCTACAAGCTAATCTGAATTCCTAAAATGATCAAAACTTGCATATATTCTTAAAGACTATAATCCCTCCTTACAAAAGTGATCCATCAACAAGCTCAACAGGAGAATCCCACCCTGCAATGGAGGCTGGCATCGGTATGGCAAATCGGGTACACACCCTCTGCTGGAATCAACTGTATGTTTTAGTCCAACTCGGGTTTCCCGACTGCCGGAGAAGTTCTCCGTTTGGCATCAATTCTCCATTCGGATTCTAGAACTTGTTTACTTTCTCTGCATGCACCATCAACAGTAGAGGTTTCCGTGGCTGAGACTGTCGCCACCTCGATATAGAATTGCTATTCTGTTTAGTCATTGTAGACCACAGATTTTTCAATGCTACAAAAGTTGTTATAGGCTTATTCTTTATTGTTGGGCTAAACAATGGGATGAGATGTTCTGTTTGGACTTCATTACGAAAATGAGAGAGTAAGCACAGGTGATGACTCGTGGTGGTAAACGCTTACCCGGTAAAGATTTTGTAAACACCCCCTTAGTTGGGAGTCATCATTGCTAACAAGTTGTCTTCTCTAAATAATCTATCCTCGTACCTCTTCATTGCTAACAAGTTACCTTCTGGTAATCTTCAACTTGGATCCAAATGTTTTAGTTTTTATGTCCATATTTTATTTTATTTCTTTCTAGTAAGATACTTCAATCCAGCTGAAATCTCGTAAACCAGACAAAGACTGGTCCAATGCATTTCCAAAATGGAAAACAGGTAAGAGTCAGGCCCATCTGGCACAACCCAGACAGAATCTTGGACTTCATATATACTAATATAACACCTTTTTTTTAAGTATGTTATATTTATATACGAAAAATACTCACAAACATTGGTGATCTTTGAACCCTTGATGAAGGCGTTGATCTACCGGTAACCCAAATACTACTGGACAAATGACCTTTTGGTAGAGAGAGGCATTTTGTAGGAACTTTTCTGGCAAAATATAACACCATAAAAAGCAAAATCCCAACAACACTTATTCTAACACTTTTGACCATTTGAAGCAAAAATTCTGCCTTCATGTACTTACTGTTTAACTTACTTCGCTTGCAATTCATATCTTTATTCCTCCCTGCTGTGTTTCTGAACCACATCTGAAAAGAAAGATCAGAAAAGTAATTCCTAATCAGACAAACAGAGGAATTATATATTAGTATTAGCAAGATATCCTTTTCAAGTTAACCCAGGTGCCACATAAAGGTTATGTTATAATCATATTTATACATGAATTCAGAACACCGAAAGCCGTAAACTTGATGCTTACATGTGACATATGGCCAATCTATAAAGATAACCCTACTGAACTAGATTTTAAAATGACACAGTAGTCCCCACTTGTGCCAAAAAGAATCATAAACTAATGGGCAAACTGCACGACCATAAACAGGAATCAAACTTTTGACTAACTGCATTACTAGCTAATCCCAACTTTAAATGAATATAGAAGTCTTTAGTTGATGTATGTAGAGCCATACCCATTTAAAAGATTGGTTGCCTTTATGATTCTTTTGACTATATCATAGAGAAAGACAACATTTTGCATTATTTAGCGGAAGCCTGTTCTGGGTATAGGCTGAATGAACAAACAAGAAAGCTTCTCTTGGAAGATGCAATACTACCTTTTCTTGATTATGATTAAACAAGGCAACCAAGAAAGCATAAAGATCCCCCTCACGGATGGTTATATCATAAACAATTGTAAAATCTAACAACAACCCGAGATTACCAACTATGATTTCCCTAAATGATGCTTATCATATTCTGGCAGCTACAATTCCGTTGTATGTTGCCATGATCTTGGCTTACATTTCTGTAAAATGGTTGAAGCTCTTCAATCCAGACCAATGCTCGGGCATAAACAAATTCGTGGCTAAATTTTCAATTCCTTTGTTATCCTTCCAAGTAATTTCTAAAAGCAATCCCTACAAAATGAACCTCAAGCTAATTTATGCGGATGTTCTTCAGAAAGTCATTGTGTTAGTGGGGGCAGCTATAATCACTAAAGTTCGATCCAATGGACACCTAAACTGGATCATAACAGGTTTTTCTCTGTCAACATTACCCAACACTTTGATCCTGGGGATCCCACTATTAAAGTCGATGTATGGAGATGAAGCAGATGTGCTTCTTGCGCAGATAATTGCACTACAGAGCCTAATTTGGTACAACTTATTATTGTTTCTGTTTGAGCTCTCAAATGCAAGAGATGCTCACATGATACAATTGTCAGCAGCCACAGGTATGTATTTTAAATGTTGAATTCTAACCTCACATACAGTTATAATGAGTTATACAATAAGTTGTATGAACACCTATATTTAAAGCACTCCAATCTATATTTAAGGATGTATCTAGTTGATGAATGATGGCATATATTGGAGCATTCACGTTCTTAAGTTCCCTTCTATGATTTTGAATTTTCGATTGAACATTTAATCACAACAGAAGATAGTCAATCTGCTTTCTGAAAGAACTTCTATTAATCGTACCGTTTAAGACAATAATTAAATCTTGGAATGCAAATTGATCTTCTATGACAAGTACTTGCAGTGTCATAACTCAACCTTACGTAACTTGGTCACATGATGTTGTGTTGTTTTTTAGTCTTGTTAGTGTCCTCACATCATCCATTCACCTTTTGACTCAAGGGGATTCAGAAGCCCGGCAAGAAGCACAAGGAATAGACAAAAGGGAGGAAACAAATTCCAGAACTCTCAGAAGAACAAAAATAATGCTGCTTCTGTTAACTGTTGGGAAGAAGCTTCTAATGAATCCAAATTCATATGCAACCATAGCAGGCCTTGCATGGGCAAGCATTAGCTTCAGGTAAGTGGCACAGGTATATATAAATCACAAAGATAATGAGAAAAAAACTAGGAGCATGACCTTTTGGTCCTGACTGCACTTAATCTAAGAATTGAAACTAATGCAGGTGCAACATAAAATTGCCAAAGGTTGTTGAAAATTCAATATCTATATTATCCGATGGAGGACTTGGAATGGCAATGTTCAGCCTAGGTAACAACATAAGATATTTAGTTATTTTCTAGCAAGTTCTGAGAATATAAAAAATTGAAACTAAAGAGCATAAACTTCCCTAACTTGTATTACTTGATAGGTCTGTTCATGGCATCACAGGCAAACATAGTAGCATGTGGTAAACGATTGGCGTTATTGGCCATGGTCTTAAAGTTCATTGTTGGGCCTGTAATGGTGGTGCCCTCCATTGTTTTTGGATTAAAGGGTGTACCATTCAAAATTGCAGTTATACAGGTATTACCATGCTTTTATTATTATTGTTATTATACCAACAATATAAATATTAACAGACTAATAAATTACTATTTGGTCCAGGCAGCTCTTCCACAAGGAATTGTCCCTTTCGTATTTGCCAACGAGTATAATGTTCACCCAGATATATTGAGCACCGGGTATTAATATTTAATACTGTTGCTTATTTCCACAAGTAAACATCAATGAACAACGTAACAATTGACTTATTCTGATTGCAGGATAACAGTTGGCTTACTAGTCGCATTGCCCATTGCACTGGTCTACTACTTATTGCTGGGATTGTAGGCAATGCACAGAAGACAATAAGTGAAAGAAAGTTGTGCATTTTGCTTGTGAAATTCTTTTAACACCCTAACAGAAAGTGTTTGGCATGTGTGAATGATAGCCAAATAGAACCAGATGGGAGACTTCGATACAAGCTAGGGTATCGTACATAGATGATCAAATATGAGACTGGATTAGTTCAAGCAAATGATCGAACAACTAGGTGGCATACCAAGATCTTCAAGCCTGTGCAATAAGAACATATCAGCATGGCATCCTCATTATTCTAGGAACCTTCATTTGTATGTAAACTCCTTTTTTAGTAGACACAGGTAAGTTGTAAATAACAAATCTGTTAAGTTCAATCTTTTGTGCTAATGATCCATAGATTTGCAATATGATATTGAAATTTCATGCCATCTCCATACACCAATCTACAAGTCAGTTGTTGGATTAACTTGGTATATGAACCTATTCTGAATATGCTAGCAATCATGTTGAGTGGTTTATATTTGATCTGTGGAAAACAACGACAAAAGCAACTTGTTCTGAAGGAATGAAGATGAATACTAGATTAAATTTATCTGGAATCCATACCATTTCTTAGATGAATGCACTTGTAAACAGAAACAAGATAAGAGAACCCTGTTCCTCAAAAAAAGCCCATGTTTGGCTGTTGAGTGTCAAACTTTTCTTAGCACTTAGCAGACAAGATCGAACAAAGAAAGAAACACACTACCATCTAGTGACGGATCAACACCAAAAACCATTTGGTGTAAGAGATTCCATATGTAAAATTAGATACATATTCACGTTAAAATTAAGTGGAAAATTAGGCATTATGCCTTCAACCATAATTCCAACAAAATAGATACAAAAGTAGCTTTACGAATCGTATCTTCTTCTCGATGTTCAAGAACAATCAGAAAACGTCTTGCACAATATATATTCAATTCAATGGCCAAAATTGCGGTCTTAAAATAGAAAATTGACGGTTCAATTGATTATTTGGAACATGAATTTGGAATTACATACTCAAATAAGCTCTCGTAACTCTTTTTAAGTACCTGTATCAGTGGTTAAGATGATTTCTGTACGGCGCCGGTCCACCGTCTGTCCGACGGTTGCTGCTCGCCATGTTGCTTGGTTTTTTGAGTAAATTTCGTTTTTGGTCCCTGCTTTTTAATGATTTTACCGATTAGGTTCCTAAAGTTTTTTTTATTGCAAATTTGTATCCATGGTATGCATTTTTGCTCTTTGTTTGCCCCTTCCACTAAACAACGTTAATTCCATCCATTTGAATTGTAAATCCGAATTGCATGAATACAAGCTTGAAATGCATCTAAGGAAAAAAAAGACCTAAATTAATTGACATCCCCCCAAACTCCCTACTGGATTCCTCATCTTCGACTTCCCTTCCTCATCTACGTCTCGTTTCTCCTTAATCGTCTTTGTTTAAATAATGTTTCATAGAGTCTGATCTTACCTTTGATGGACAGACAAATGAGATAACAAAAGTTAAAAAGGCATAAACCAACTTCTTAAATCCACATGTAATAACAGAAACAAGATCTCAAAAAACTTGCAAGGAGATGTTAATTTTTGTTGTAAATTCCATCTTAATCTTTGCCTTCGATTTATGTTTTGTATGGGAAATGAATGATTTGTCCTTGAGAAAAACGCAATCCATCTTGATGAGGTGAGGGTCTTAAAGAGTACAAATGAGGGGTATATTTGCGTATTGGGTCCTGTTTGTTCCAAACCAGACAAATGTTTCAAATCCTATAAGCCAATTATGAGAATTGATATTGTGTATTTGAAACTTTTAGATGGTTATGAAATCAGTTTTTGATGTGGTTGGCAGTAAATTTCAAGACCGTTTAATTCACATTGTTGACTATCTGCATGGACATATGAGATTGGTTTATATAACTCTTGGTTTGTATTTGATTTTTAGGGAAATAACCAAATGGGAACCACAAAAATCTATCAAAATAACTTTTTACATGATTTTTTTTTCATTAAATACTATGATTTAACGTATTGGTTCACATATGTTTGTGTTTATATTGTGAAAAAAATACATGTGAAATCATTACATTACAAAAAAAATATATGTGAAACAATAACTTAAACCTTAAACGTAGATAAAAATAAATTTCATATGGAACAATAAGTTAAAATCGATTCTCATGGATACATAACCTTTCTATGGTTTTTACAGGTTCATAACGGATTCTTTTTCAAAATAACCATTAATTAGAAGGACTAAAACCAAACATTTTCATATGCACGATGTTTTTTTTTAATAAAAAAATACAGGAATGTAGGGGCCGTTTACTAAACACTTACCTTACCCGGTAAATGTTTAGCGGGTAATTTTTTTTACCGGATGAACATGACAAATGTCAAAAATCTTACCCGGTAAGTGTTTAGCGGAAAATTTTTCTTACCGGATGAACATGACAAATGTCAAAAATCTTACCCGGTAAAAGTAACGATAAATATGGAAAGTCTTACTCGATAAGTGAGTGTGATGACGCTTACCCAGATATGTGCTTACCGGGTAAATTGTTGCATACGGTACCATTTTGATGTACTACAATCTTATCCGGTAAAATCGTATATGTTATTAGACTCATAATGTTAAGCGCTTACCGGGTAAGCATTTAAGTAGACGTCCTCTTATTTAAAATCATATATGTTATTTTAAGCAATTATTTCAAGTGTTGCAAAAATTATAATAAGAGATGGAAAATTTTCTTCCTTATAAATTACTTGAATGATACTTGAATTATCCAGCAAGATACATCTTGATTTTAATGTTTTATTTTATTTATTTTTGTCTCAGTCAATGTTATAATACAATTTTATGTAGTTTTAAGAAATCGATTTTTTTTTTTTTTTTGAATAAAATATAAATACGGATATATTATAAAAACTAGAAAAAAAATATTGATATTAGTATTAAACTAACTATTAATTTTTTTTATATATTTTCTTAATTTATTTTTTAATAATATATTTGAAATAAAATGTTTATACTTTATTTGATTATGTTTATGAGCAGTTAGTTATACGAATTCAAACATGAAACCTTAATAAATTATATCTATGTACAATTTATTTGTAATTATAAATTTTTAATAATATATAACAATAAATAATACTTTATACATATTTTATCAAATACTTAATCTATACTATCTTATTAACCAAATTTAGAAAAATGTCTTAAAGTCTTAAAATATTAAATGACCAAAATACCCTTTATATTACCCTTACTCATTTTTTCACCCTCTCATCTCCTCACATACCCCCACCCTCTCACACGGTTTTTTTAAAATTATAATTTTAAATTTACACTTTATACCCCTATAATTAGTTAATTAATTTACTTTACATCTTTTACTTTTAAATATTTTATTTTAAACCTTTATCAAATTAACATACATAATCGTATATCAATTAAAACATGTTTAAAAAATACATTTTTATTTTAACAAGTTATACCATTATAATCGTCTCGTTAATACCTTCGAAATGAGTTCAATATTGAATGATTTTTGATTTAATTATATTATTATATATTATATATACTGTAAAAAAATATTTTTAATATTTATGATTTATACTTTTATAGTTATTTATTTATATATATACTATATATTTTGGGGTTAGGCTGTCCAAATTGCACTGTATAATATGTTTTGAATTAATATGTTCTTGGGTTTTTTTGAAATATATATATATATATATATACATGTATTAATTCAATCTTAATATGAGTTTTTGGACAAGAAAGAGGGTAAACAGTTGAAATTTCATTCTAAAACCCATCTTTTTTGTTCTTTTTATGGCTTATGATCTGTCAAATTTGTAGTTTTTATATTGGTTTTGAGTGTTTATCTTAAATTTCTTTGCTCTTGGTGTAAATCGAACACATTTGTGGAGTCGTTTAAATATGTTGGATTTTAAATATATTGGATTTTAAACTGTCATACAATTTTTTTCATCGATGGTCTGTAATTGGAACCATAACTCTTATTTATTCAAATTGTATTAATATGTAAAGACCACGTGTAACCTATATCATCGTATCTTATCTTATAAAACTAGTGGAACTTCAAAATCGTTAAAATTCATGGCTCCCACCGCATTGTACGAATACACAACTAGTAATATAATATAGATATAGATAACAACAAAATGCATTTTCTTCTGAAATTTTTGCACCTCACCCTCACCCTCACCATCTTCTCATTCTTTTATCTTCAAAAATAAAAGCACTACCAAATTAGAATAAATCCACGTGTACCGTAGACTTCCTATATTCGGAATCAATTCCCTAGGCCATTCCAAATCTACGGCCACAAAAGCATCTCAACACCGCTCTCTCGAATCCAACGGTTCTCGCTCAACCAAAGCACACCTAAAGAATCACAACTCTCAAGAAAAAAACCGACGTCTATTAAAAATCTTTTTAGCAATTCCTTTGTCCAGAGCCTTAATCTAATTATTTACTTGTATCGCGTGCATTTAAAGTTGTACATTGAATTCGGTTGAGCCATTTCAGGTCTGGAAAAAGGCTTACCTTTTCCATTTCCCCAATTCATATAGCTTAGCGTTGTTTGTCCGGTGTTCTTTCAAGCTCCCCCTATCTCTCTTGCAGTTTGATACTCTGTTTCTTGTTTTGGATCTCCATTTTTAAGCCAGAAATCATGGTTAAAGGTCCAGGACTTTACACCGAGATCGGCAAAAAAACCAGAGGTTCGTTTTGTCTCGACATATATACGAGATTGTGCAGTTTGATATGTGTTTGTTTTTTTGTGCATGTGTGATTATGTATATAAGATTGTAATTCGATATATGTGTGTATCTGAACGTATAAGTGTGTTTTTGTGTTGGAATTTGGATCATAAGTTGTTAATTTCGAATCTGTTTCTTTGTGTATGCAGATCTTCTATACAAGGATTACCAGGGGGACCATAAGTTCACTATCACGACCTATTCACCTACTGGAGTTGTGAGTTACATTTCCACTTTTCTGTATTTGTCGATCTGTTGACCGTTTTATGTTTCGACATTGTTACAAGAACTTCAGTATGTCATCGTGTGTGAATGTATTTGTTGTTTATGTCTTTATCAAGGTCTATATTGCTAATAGACGGCCATCCATGCTTTTGTGAGAGATGACTGATTATATATTAGTTCTTTTTTTGGAGAAGTGGAAGTTGATAGGCGTTTGTTCACATTTTCAGAACCAACAGTTCTGTATTGCTGTCCGTAACATGTGTAGGAAGTCTTATGTTGTGATGGGACATTGTAATTGTAAACTAATGAACATTGTTTATTTCGCAATTCAGGATATCTGATCGTGAGTCATTGCACCCATCCACGCCTGTTTTGAGAAGAAAGTCCAAAGGATTTTGTTTTGATATCAGTGAATATTATGAATAGATGATTGATGATGTTTGAACAAGCCCTAGATTCCAAAGTAGATTGTCTAGTGCTTTTGAGCTTACTTAATTACACTATTTTGTTCATTTTCTGATGTGCCTGAAGTAGTTGGTGGATGCCAGTAGACCATAATTATATGACCTAATCCTAATGACAGGTGAAGATGTTAGAAACTAGGTAGCGCCCCCATTGGTGTTGTTTATTTGTAGTAAGCTGGTTGAAATTCCATTTCCCCCTTCCCATCGTGCTGCTCTTTAGATATGACTCTGTTGTGAACTTGTAATTTACATTGAGATTTGAGAATGGTATGGCATTGGCGTACTCCTTAAAACATTTTATTTTTGTTTCTAGACTAATGTGTGTATATATTTGAGCTGGTTTCGTATGGTTTACATGCCACCTTCTTGTGTTCTCTTGATTTTGAATGGCTCTTATTGTCTTGGTTCCAATTTCTTTTATAGCATCAAGTAGTTTTACCAAACAAACCCAACGAGTCCCACGTGGAGCAGGGTTTGGGGAGGGTAAGATATACACAAGCCTTACCTCTATCCCGAGTAGTAGAGGTTGTTTCTGTAAAGACCCCTGACTTGTAAAAAGTTTTTGAAAATATAATTTTGCAAGAAACTTTTGGTTATAATAGTTGGACAAAAGTTTGAAAGAAAGGAAAGATGTAAAAAGTAAATGCTAGAAAAGCAAGTTCTGGAAGTCGAAGAAAAAGGAACAGGAAAACTAAAGCACGCAAGGACTTAAAGGCATACTAGAAGGTACTAAACCACTTAACAAACTAAGAAAGAAGTAGCTGCCGACTCCATAAACCCTCCCCCAAAGTACGACTCTGCTACCTAGCTGACCATGCTACTATGTTGATACCTACCGTTAAATCCTCTAAACCCACCACCATCCACCAATCCGCCCCTTCTCCTGCCCCATTAACCACAAGTCCTTGTACACAATTTGCTACCTTTGTCCTGTGTCTCCACGAACTTCTATTTGAATCGTGTCTTCCGAAATGTCTAAAGCCGTTATGTCTAGTCTTAGTTGTTAGTTTCACGTATGCCTTGGTCTGCCCCTGCTCACACTCTCAACCTTGATGCTCTCCACCCTCCTCACGATGCCGAGAGCTGTGTCCTATGAACGTGCTGAAACTACCGTAGGCTTCTCTCTCTCTCTCTCTTATTTTATCCGTGATGGGTGCTACACTCAATTCAGCTTGAAAGACCTCGTTCGGCATCTTGTGTAGCATGATCTGGCCACCTGTCCATCTGAGCATCCTCATTTCAACCACCCCCATCTTCCACTCATGTGCCTTCTTTGTTGTTCAGCATTGTGCGCTATACAACGAAGTTGGTTTGATGGCTACCCTGGAGAATTTGCCTTTAGTCTTAGCGGGACTTTCTTGTTACACAACAATCTCGTGACCACCCTCCATTTTAATCAACCTACCTTTACGAGCAACATCATCCTCGATCTCTCCCTTGTTCTGAATCATAGAGCCTAGATACTTGAACATCATATTGCCCAAATGGCAAAGACATGACACCACCATGTTGTAAAGGTTTAGCAAGTATAATACTGATTAGCTACTGTTTGAAGGTTCTCATCAGTGGATCTTAGTATCACAATTAGTGAACTGTGACCACAAATTATGTTCTTCTATACAACTTCGGGTGAGGGCATTGTCCATTTGTGATGTTAGTCTGCGAAATGCACCCAAGTTTATATGTTTAGCTGTTTACATCCATGCTCCATCAGATGTGAGCACACCGAGATATGTTGTGAATGCTATTCTGTGAAGTCTATTGCTTTAGTTTGACATATATCTAGAAATAGAAATTGTTGGGATAAATCCCTAATTCAGATGCTGTAGATCCAGCAACTTGTGGTCTTCAGTATTCTATAGTTGATGTTGTTTGCATATACTCACATTCTTGATTCCACCATGTAGGCGATCACATCATCTGGCACGAAGAAAGGTGAACTATTCCTTGCCGATGTCAACACACAATTAAAGAGGAACAATATTACTACTGATGTCAAAGTGGACACCAACTCCAATGTATGACGCTCCTTCCCTTTTTTTTGTTTAATTTAGCATTTCTCTTCTATTTTCTGGCTGGAATGCAATGCCGGGGCATGATTATGGTAGTTTAATGGCAATCTGAAGTCCACATACTGGTTTATGGGTTGAAGCCCACAAGAAGGTGACCATGTGCTTGTGAGAACATTTAAGTTAAACCTCCTTTTTAGTCAAGTCATTTTGATTCCAATTGTAGTCCATGTCCCACGAACACCTCCCCGCTTCCTCAGGTGAATGTGGGTCATGCAAGAGGTTGCATAAAGCATTTGAGTTATTACATTCCTCACCTTTTGTGTACACTGTTCACTGCTCTGATTTTTTAATAGCTGATGTGAATTTTAGTACTTTACTGCTTGGTCTAAATATTTAACTGAATTATTTGCAACGTTCCTAGCTCTCCACAACTATCACAGTTGATGAACCTGCACCTGGGCTAAAGGCAATACTTAGCTTCAAAGTTCCTGATCAAAGGTCTGGCAAGGTATACAATCACTCTTTCTGCTTGAGAGACCACAGATCTATTTTGCAACTGAAGCTGCATATTTTTTCATTTGATGAATTTTCAAAGGTTTTATGATGGCCCTGATTGTCTTTAATTCTACCAGCTCGAACTTCAATACTTGCATGACTATGCTGGAATCTGCACAAGTATTGGGTTGACTGCAAACCCCATTGTGAACTTCTCTGGTGTGCTGGGAACAAACATTGGTGCTATTGGAACTGATGTTTCTTTTGACACCAAAACTGGAAACTTCATCAAATACAATGCTGGGTTTAGCTTCTCCAATGCGGATCTTATTGCTGCTTTGACCTTGTGAGTTTTAATGCTTTCTAGTTAAAAAGATTTCTCAAGCAATGATATAGGACATAGGAGTAAGAATTTTCCTAGAAGAAGTGACTTAGATCAGATAACCCACCACTCTTCTTGCCAAACATTATTCCTGTTAGTGCATAGAAAACGATTGAAAGTGACTAATTAGGGTGCATTTGGTAATCAGAGTGGACATGACAGATGAGAGTGAGGTAGGCGGTGAAAAAATTGTTGAAATTTTTAGCTTTTAATTTGACATAGGTAGTTTAGTAAATTATCGATCCTGTCCCATCTCCCTAGATTTTTGTTCCACCTACTTGGCGGGAAAAAGGAATCTTTGTCCTACCTAATTTTGTCATGTTCAGTCTGAATGTCGCACCAAACATGCAAGTGTTTGTTTTGTCATGTCCCATGTTATTCTATGTGCCAAAACACACCCTTAACGTGCTTCTGTGTCAGCTTAAAATAATAGGTTGAATTGGTAAAGAAACCTTGATTGGTGTTGATAAATGTTGTTTTGATCTTTTCCGGAGAACTCACGGATTCCACTTTATTTAATTGAGCTAGTTACCTTATTATTCGCAACTGTAACTTTTACACTTGAAAGTAGTGAAATTTGAGGTATTATGTTAATTATACAGGAATGACAAGGGTGACACACTCAATGCATCCTACTACCATATCGTCAAGCCCTTGACCAACACGTCTGTTGGTGCAGAGGTGAACCACAGCTTCTCAACCAATGAAAACACAATTACGGTTGGTACCCAGCATTCTTTGGACCCATTGACCACGGTGAAGGCTCGGGTCAACAACTTCGGCAAAGCAAGCGCACTCATCCAGCATGAGTGGCGTCCAAAGTCCCTCTTCACCCTTTCAGGAGAAGTCGACACTAAAGCTATTGACAAGAGTGCAAAGTTCGGACTTGCCTTGGCTCTTAAGCCCTGAAATGTTTGCAGGTAGCGACAAGTTGAAGGTTTTTGTTGAACACGTTCTGATGGGTTTCCTTTCCTAGACTTGGTGGAAATAATTTACAGGTGTTGTTTAAGGACCAATGTCCATGCTTAATTACCAAATTTTTCTGCTTATTCATTGTTAACACATGGATGGTACCTATTTTGCAGAGGTTCATCTTACTACTACGTTCTTTTTGTTTTCATCAAACTTTGATTGTTGAGTCTTTGTTTTCAGGCCAAAAAGTGTTTTCCTCTTTTCTTCATTAATCACTCTAGTAGTGGTTCTGCATGTTTTTTTACGTTAGATGTACATTTATTGGCGTTTCTTGTAGTGTTTTGGTTGTGTTGGAAGTGATTATGGTATGATTGTATCTTTAAATTTTAAAAAAATAAAAAAGTTAAAAAGGAGCAGGGGAAGGCTTTTTCAAACTATACAGTAATTGTACTGAATGATTGCCATCAATCTGGATTCTAGGTACAAAGGCTGCTTCTTGGCACCAAAGATAACCCAAGGCTCATGCTTTTTTGGGCCTAGGGGTAGGTCTTTTTCAAACTCGTTTTTAGTTAGCAAAAAACAGTCTGGCTGGGCTTTGAGGTTGAAAAGGGTCTGATTGCGCTCTTCAGGTCTAGGCTGCCAAAGTTTTGGCTTGACTTGGACCGGACTTTGAGCTCATTAAGCCCAGGTTCTTCTTTGACCGGGTCTGGGCTAGGCTTCGGGTTTGAGTTTTTTTTGTGCATCTTTACATGATAGACTGCCAATCTCAAGTAAGCAATTGTTTTAGTTAGATTGAGATTATTATGGTCAGTGATCGAGTCATATGAACAATTTTAACATTTTGTTGGTGACTCGTCAAAGCAAATTGAAAGAAAGATGGAATATGTGGGGTGGTGATTGGGTCAAATCAGGTCTTGATGGTCATTGGGTGTTGGTATAAATTTGTCCCTGTGCATATTATCTTGTCCATAGGCTGTACCTCTATGTTTTCGGTTTTCCCCAACTACTTTTCATTTTGATTCTTTCATCATTTAATATTTGTTAATTGTAACAAACTCAGAAATCAATAAAGGTATTTAATGAAACATAAATCTAAGACATTTAACAAGACAAAAGAAGAGCCATGAATATAGTTTGCATACCCTTTTTCCCTTCATTTATAACAAACATGATACGAATCATTTTTAGAATTTGATTATTTAATAAACAAAGATGGTCGAGTTAAATTTGGTTCAATATCTCTTAAACCTTACGGAGTCACGGTCTATACATTTTTTTTCCATTTTTAGTAACAAAGATATTCAAGTTCTAATTCTGAGAAATAACTGGTTATATTTGCATTCTGAAAAAAAGAGGACAAGTTATTAATTAACTTTTTAAGGAAACTTAACTCCGACATTTTAATATAGTGTCCATCACTCTAGCAACAAAGAGATCCAAGGCACAACTCTTTTTGTGAATGAATAAGTGTTACATTAGATGCCGTTTTTATATATGGTGAGTCTTATGATAACATTGATGATATATATTAATTCTTCTATTTAACTAGATGTTTTGCAAATAAAAATGGAAAAAGAGAAAGAAAAAAAAAAACAAATGTATCTATATTAATATTTTTTTAAGTATCTGTATCTGGATCTATACTATATTAAAAAAGACGAGTTACAGTTATCTTGAATTTTTAATGGGTACAACCAATTAAGGATATTGTACAAATTCTTAAAGCTTCCATCAAATCATTTTTAATTTCAAAATTACATTTTATACCTTTATAATTTAGTGATTTGATTTACTTTGTATCCCTTACTTTTTCATTTTACACATTTATCATATTAACATAAATAATCGTATATGAACTAAAATGCATTTAAAAAATGCGTTTTTTACATATTATACTATTATAATCGTCTCGTCAATACCTTCAAATTAAGCTCAATATTGAATATTTTTGAATTTAATAATACTATTAAATATCATGAATACCTACGAATTAATTTGTTTTTATATCCATACATTTTCGTTTTTCATTTTACACATTTATCATATTAAAAATACATAATCATATAGTAAAATATGTTAAAAATGTGTTTTCTTTATTTAATAACATTATATCATTATTAATTGTTCGTAATTGGTTATAAAACCATCACATACTCCTAGATTAATTGCTCTCGTAAATGGAGTGAAATACCTCATCATTATGGTCTTGGAATGCATGGCTAAGGTCACACAAATTAGGAAGAAAGATAATCCGAGGAATAATCCTGCATTTTGAGGTATTTATTAGGATCTTTGTTTTCACGAACTATTTTTATCTGGTTTTTGCAGTTATTATTTTTACCCTATTTCTCATTTCAGAAAATTCTGATTTTCTAGTTTCCTTTTTGCCTTGTGGGTTTTATCTGATATGGATTTGATCGCGATTTGCAAGTAAATACCCAATATGAAGAACGTCAAGTTTGACTTCGAGTCTCTTATTGTCATCATATTGGAGATGTTAATCTTTCTCTTAAACTAAACGGGTTATTATGAAAATTCATAGAATGTTTTTTGCAATGTTAGTTTTCCCATTTTATATTTCACTTGCTTTTGTTGGTTTTTGAGTTTCTAAAATGTGAATTGAACTTTATATTAAAAAGATGAGGTTGTTTGTTTTTACCTCTTAATAGTTCTATTAAAAAACATCATCTGAATCACTAACTATAACTAAATATATTGAACAATAATTTAAAAAAAATGATATAAAAATAATTTATACTATTAATAATAATTATAAATAACTAATATTAATGTACAACTAAAGTTAGTTAATAACTGAATTTAATATTTATTAATATTCGTAATAATTAATTTTATAAATATCTTTTGAATAATTAATATTTATTTTTAATTAATATAATAATAAATAACAATTAATATCAATTAGTCTTGTAATTGAAAAAAGTGACAATAGGCTCTTAAAAAACTACTCCAATTAACTTGTCAATAAACTAGTTTATGTTTATTCAAACATATACCCAACAAATAAGCTAATTTGTTTTTTTCCATACAAATGCTTAAACTGATATAGTTGATGTTTGAATGAATTGTTCTGATTAATTTTTCATGGTATAATTAATAGAAGCATATTTTTTGAGGCTGTTTGAGGCCTCTAATTATCACTAAATACGTAAGAAAAATCAAATATCATGTTACATAATTGTGTATTGACCGGGCATATGCCACAAACTTTAACGTCGTTCATACATGAGCCTTGAGCCACGACGACTGCTATGTTGAGTCTTTTAAAGCATTGGTTTTTATTTATTTATGGTCCTTGGATTTGATTATTAAAGGGGTTTTTATTTTATTTTATTAAAGAACATGTTTTGTGAAAATCAATCAATCTATGTTGTGAATTTCTTTTTAATACGAAGCCACATTTTCCAGGTTAATGTTTCATATTACTTTCCATTAGAATAAATCGACTTGATATTCATAAATAGTTCCTATATGGAATATGAAAATCTAATTGATTTGCTTCATTTTACTATCGGTCTATCTTTTTGAAATATTCTGGTATTTATTAATAAATTTTTATCTCAACAGATATAGTTTTTGAATATTACCATATTTTTATTCAAACATAAATTTGCGATTTATTTTTCAATTATAAGTTGTAAAAACTATAAACCACTAATTAATGCATAAATTGATCTTTAAAAAGACAAGAACAACAAATGTTTTGGATTAAAAAAAGTATTTCAAAATCTTTGATCAATTGAACATTTTAATTTTGAATTTATAAATCATCTGAATTATGATTTAAAATCACAACAAACTACAAAATTAGCATCGAAAGGAATGAAGAATAAAACAAAATTTGAAACAATATTATCGTTTCGGGTTGTTGGCTTCATAATCGAAATGATTTGCGCGACATCGTGCGCGAATACGTTACTAGTTATCCATATAAAAGAAAACCAAGGATAATACTAAGGAGGAATGGTTTTTGTATGGATGAATGTAACATTCCTTTATTATACTCCATCTCAAATATTTCTATCACATTGATCTAAAGTCATGCACACGAGAACAATAACTAAATAAGAGAAGAAAACGGTCAAATAATATGTAGTTTTACATTAAAATCACATGTGATTCACACAACTTAGGCCGCAACTTGAGGTCACAGGCGTTGACTGTTAGTACAAAATCACATGAGAGTTTACCCGTGATTTGACCATTTTCATGTTCTCTTATTTAGTTAATGTTCTCGTTTAAACCTCCCCCTCTATTAATCTAATCTTCCTATTATCATCTAAAAGAATACTCTCTTTTTAATGATCTGAATTATTATTATCACTGTGAACATATAGCAAAATAAAGAGAATTCCAAGTGTGAACAAATACAATATTTGACTAATAACCAAATGTCTAAAATATCTTCTGATAGTAACCAAATTAAACAGAAAACTATAAATCAAATACAATTCATCAATATTCTCTAATAATCACTAATGAATAAAAAACAAATCAGAATTTAATTCACCCCCAAAAAATGTTGATCAACTTAAAACAATATGATGTGTTATAGAGATGCATGCATGAAACAGTACCATTTTCAGGAAAGGAAAAGTATACAAAGTGTGCATGACAATAAAGCTTCAAATCCAACACATTAAAATTCACTGTGAAACAGACATGACATCCACCCACCCCCACAAAACCCTCAAATGTTGCAATAGAATTTTTAACATGATGTGTCAAATCCAACCTTGCTTTCTACATGTCCTCATGAAAAGAAAAAATGGTCCATCAAGATTCTAGCTGAGAAAAGCATATGAAAAGGAGAGTTTTTGAGGACATAAAGAAAAAGCAAATGCTTGTGTTTTGCTTGTTGACAATTTTTTAAAAAGGGCAAAACAATCTCCATGTGGGCCAATTATGCTTTGCTTTTCTTTTCTTTTCTTTTCTTTCTAGCTTACCTAAACAGACAAAGTGTCACCAAAAAGAACTCATAAAGTGCAATAATAACAAAGGAAACAAAAAATTTTCATTCAGAAAATGAACAAAGATGATTAGCAAAGCATGAACCAACTAACTAACTAAAAGAATTCAAAATCTAAGTAAGGACCTGAGGATCTATCTGAATCGGAGGCTTTCTTGTCGTTTTGAGGCAACGTTGACTTGATCGTTTGATTCAAGAACGAAAGATCAACTGGTTTTGGAATCTCGGGAGGATGAATGCCACGGATAAGAGCCCAATTTATGCTTTCAAAGAACGGGTGTTGTTTGATCTCTGTTGCACCTCTTTTGTATCCTAATCTTTTCTGTGGGTCTTTGACAAGAAGACCCCGGATCAAATCCTTTGCAGCAAAACTAATGTTTGATCCCTCGGGGAACTTTAGAGACTGGCCAACGACATTAAATAACGTCTCTCGGTTTCCATTTCCCTTAAATGGTGTTTTCCCATGAAGCAATTCATACAAGAATATACCGAATGTCCACCAATCAACAGCACTCCCATGCCCATCTCCTCTAATGATCTCGGGTGCTAAATACTCATGGGTCCCGACAAATGACATGGATCTAGCTGCAGTTGGCTCTACTATAAGTACAGGACGTGAATCTAAGCTTACGGCATTTGTTCTTTCTGTCTTGGGTTTCGATGTTTTAGAAGAATTGAAAAGACGGGGTTTGAAGCATGATGGCTGAAAGCAAGTGGGCTCGACACAAGCAGGTAGTCTGCAAGAAGGGTCGATGCATGATTGCTGAATACAGTAAGAAGTGGCTGTGCAAGATGGCTCATTTGTAGACTTAACTAGTCTTGGGCTTACACAACACCTTAATGATAAATCAAAATCAGACAGCATAATATGACCATCTTCTCTTACCAAAACGTTTTCTGGCTTCAAATCTCTGTATACCACACCCATCATGTGAAGATACTCTAAAGAGAGAAGTACTTCAGAAGCATAGAATCTGTAAAGCCAAACAACAGACACAATTATGCACCAAGCTTAACATGAACATAACAGGAATTAGATTTAGGCAAAAAGATGAAGACATGGTCAAACTAATTGCAAATTCGGCTGCCATCCTCAATATACTACCAAACTGGAACCAACTAGGTACATTTTTTGAAAGAAAATCTTTGTATTTTGTAAAAATAAATGTTCCAAACTAGGTTAAGATTCTTGTGTTGATCTAAGCCCATAAAAGATCCAAACCGAAACGATCAAACTTAATGAAAACAGCAGAAATCACTGGTATTTCTTATAAACCAAAAGATAGAATACCCATGAATGTTGACATAAAGAAAAGAATGGGTTTGTCCAGGTTGGCTTTTTAGTCCAAATCATATAAAGAAACTATTAATAATGCAATTTATCCTGGAACTTTCTAATACGAATAATTGGAGTTTCATAGAGCAATGGCGGATCATACTATTCACTAGATATTGCGAAAACTAATTAAAGGGTTTCAGAATGGGAGATTAGATAATAATAAACCTTGCTGCTTGTTCAGAGAAATGCTTGCCGGATTGACGCTGGCGAAGAATATGAAGATCTCCACCACTGCAAAACTCCATAAGCAAACATGAGAGCTTCTCGGTTTCGAAATGCGAATAAAGGGTGGGAAGAAAAGGGTGATCCAACAAACTCAAGATCTCCCTTTCGGTTTGAGCTCTAATCAGCTTCTTTCTTCCAACAAGCATTCCTTTATCCATAACTTTGACAGCAAACAAACAACCCATTCCCCTCAACTCCGCCAAATACACACTCCCAATATCCCCAAATCCAAGCTTCTTCAAAAGCCTAAAATGGGATAAACTCAAGTCTCCATCTCTAGCCTTTACAGATTGAATAGCATCCCATCTGATATCATTGGCTTTATGCGGCTTTGAAGGGCAAAACGTCCTAACTTTAGCCTCATTTGGGTCTACACTATAACAATAACTAGAAGAACTTAAACTAGTTTTCTCACTTCCCTCGCATTCTTCTTTCTCCTCAATACCACTATCACTGGCTTTACAAGTGGAACAGTTATTGGAGCCACTAACGGTGCTTACACTCAAATCTGTACTAGGACTAGAGTTGATACTAAGATCTTGAAAGCTCAAAGTAGAAGAGCCACTAGGGCTGTTTTTAGGCTCTTTACTCATATCAGAGTTTGCACAAGCGGCAAGTGTTTGATAAAATGAGTGAAAGAAGGGAAAATGCAGGTTTAAAGCGAGAGGAGGTGAGGGTCAAAGGAGGGTTGCCGAGGTGGTCAAAGGGGAGTGAGCGAAATAAGGAGGAAGGAAATAGAGCATGGGGAATCGGTGTTCAAAATTTGAATGGTGCAGTTTCAGATACCCAATGAAGTGAATTGGGGTTTGGAATCTTATGGTTACAATATATGGCAGAAACGATTTAAACCCAAAATTATTATTATTTATTTTATTCAATTTATTTTATATAATATTAAAATACATATATATATATATATATATACAGAGAGAGAGAGACACATGGAGAGTATATATATATATATATATATATATATATATATATATATAATAGGAATGGGAATAGGAATAGCGTGGTCTCGAGTCTCATATTCTGAGATGGTAAAGAAAGGCGGGGGGGAATTACGAGGAAGACAAGAAGCGGACTTAAGACCGTTTCACGCACACCAGAAGACGTTTGTATTTGCTTCAAATCGTTTGGATCAATCTCATTTTTCACAGGGAAAAAAACTCAGAAAATGTTAATGATTTTTTTTTATTAACTTGGATATCCAATTCGTTAAGCGAGTCGACTAATCCCAGAACGACTACATGTTTTGCAGATAGTCCGGAATCAACGCATTTGAACCTCCGTAACCACAAAGAGATTTTTATTAATCCTTGGATTTGAACCTGAAACCTATTGGTACTTTTTACCTTTGAAGCCAAGCTCAAACCAATTAAGTACCATCCTTATGGTTGAATTTTTTTTGTGCGCTCGAAACTTGTTTTTAAAGGAAAGACGAGGAAAATAAAAAAATCACGCTTTTGAAACATTTTTTGAGAAAGAAAATGATATAAAAATGACAAGTTTCCTTACAAAACTTTCATCCCGAGCGAACAAGGAAATGAAAGGAAAGAAATTAAAAGCTTTTAAAAAATTATTAAAATTATGAAACTATTTAATTTTTCATTTTAAAAGGATATATTAATAAAAATGGCATATTACATTTCATTTCTTTTCTATCATGTTTAAGAATATGAAAAATTAATTCTTTTTCTTTTTCTTCCCTTTCGAGAATGCAAATAAAAAAATTATTTTATTTTCTTCTCAAATTCAAGAATACAGAATAAGTCTATGAATTATTTTTTGAATGGAAAAATCATTGAATTTTTGCATTTTGAATGATTAATTCATGAATATTACTTTTTTTGAGTAAATAAACTAACAAAATTTTAAGAATTACATATCTATATTCTTTTAACCTAAAAAAACTACTTATAACTGACTAAAATGTTTTAAGTAAAAAAAAATTAAATCAATTTTACCTTTCTTAAAACATATGTTATTCAAATCCCTTGCACATAATGACATCACTCCCTCGTCACTTTTCATTGTCTCATCGTTGTCCGTTCCTCATACCGTCCATGGCCGTCGTTGGCTCCTGCCATGGATCTTCCTCTTTTTTATTTTATTTTTGTTTTTGAAGCCTCTCTCTTTTACAACAGCTTAATGAGCACATATAGACGTATAAAGAATGGAGAATCATAAAACAAAAAAAGCGGATCAAAAAAAAGAAAGACCGGTAGCAGGCCAACAATGATGATGAGCGGTGATATTGAGCAAAAGATAAGAGGTGACGAGGGATTTGAATAACGTGGGGTTTAAGAATGATAAAACTGATTTGAGTTCTTTTACTTTAAAATCAACCTATTCAAATAGCCTTTTTAGATTAAAAAAAATGTAAACAACCAAATTTTAAAACCTCCATGATTTATTTATTCTAGAAAAGTTTAAAAAACTTATTTATTTAAAACGAAAAAACAACAATGTGAAAATAATCAAATCATGATTTATTAATTTGTTTTATCCAATTAATATTCTAAAAAAGTACCATTTTCAAAATTATTGGCAAATAAGTAGTTTGTTTTAATCACATTAAATGTGTGAGAAATGACAAAAAGGGAAGTGAAGTTGGCCATATTTGAAATTAATGAGATACTATTTAGAGCTAAAAAGTAATTTTCTCTTGATAAAATTTGAAACCGAACAAATGATATGTTTTTAATATACTCATGTTGTTATATTTTTATATTCATTTTTAACCAAATAGTAGTTGTTGTGTGTATTTATTATGAAGTTATACACGGTTACATTTAATTACAGACATGATCAAACAATGTTGTCATCATTATACACTTGCAAGTGATTATGTACACAAATATGTCATTCACTATGACCCGCTAAGCATCCATGGTTGAATGGTTAAAGCATCCAACTCATCCAATTGGTTTCAGCCTTGGTACAACCCAAGGTCATCATTCCCTACCTTTGAGTGCGGTTTGAACTATTGATTTACGTAATTGGAAGTAACCAATTAAACATCGGTTATTTATGCTAAATGTATCAATCTAATTATCATGCAAATAGACACGTTTCTCCGATATATGTTTCCATAATTACATGTGTATTTATATAAATGTGTGTGTATGTATGATGGTGTGTGTGTATATATATATATATGAATGAATGATCATGTAGACACCACATATTGCTCAAAGATATAATACTGACATAATGTATATGATTGTGCACAATATGATATCGTTGTTACTTGTATATTAATATTCCTGATCATATGTGATCATGCATGAAACCATTTCTAAGTTCTAATCATACAGATGCACAATTATATTATGATTGTGTACAACATTATATCCTTGTGTGTATTGTTGAAGAACCGTATACATCAAACTTTACATGAAAAAAAAATCAACCTCCGCCTATCATTTTTGCATTTCTCTAACTGACAAACTTGAAATTAAGGTGGCCATTTTCATAAACTGGGGAGACTATATCAGTCTAGGACCAATTGACACCAACTAAAACTAGTTAAAACCATATCGACTTATAACCAGTCACGACAATTTTATAGAAGGACCACTTACAAGGACCAGCGGATTGAAATAGATGATGTCATGTTTAAGCACATTTATTAATTATATGTTATAAGAGAACAATTAATATTAAAGTAAAAAAACCCAAAGAAATAGTTGATATTTAAAAAAGTCGCTAGTAATAGTATCATTAGAGAATAGTTAAAATATACAAAACTAGAAAAAAAAAACTAGTTAATATATAAGCGGTTTGACCGCTTACATCACAAGTCTTTGTCTATTCTTTCAAATACCAGTTTAGACTAAAATCAGTTACAGAAGAATCAATTTAGGCAATTAAGGTTAAGATCACGAGCAAATCTGTCTTACTAGTAATGTTCTAAAAGAAAGACACAAGAAGATAAATACCATTAAAGTTGTCTAATCCAATTAAATCAAGTATTAATTCATGTTTAAAGATGATTCTACGAACCTTAAGTAGCAAAATAAACAGACCGGACCAATCAGATCATGAATCAAATGAACGGTTTTTTTTCCTAATAAACTACAATCTATCTTATAAATAATTATTGTGTTAAATGTTGTCACCAGAACCTATGTTAGTATGTTATATAAAAAAAATATAATTCTAAACAATTTAAGAAATTGAAATCATTTTAACACATTGAATTCCGGACCATTTAACCCACTTCTTAACTAATTTTATAATCATTTTACGAATTAAAAATTGCCAGATCCATTCCGGCCCAACTGAAACATCACAAAGGAGCAAACCACGTGCCAGTGTGCCTGACCTAATCATTAGAAAATTTGTAAACCAGATTATACAAAGTTACCTATTTTTTTCTTTTGTGACCAAAAAGCCCGTCCATTTGGCATATAACATTTTGCATGTAACATCTACAATTTGGATGCAAAACGGATATCAGATTGTTCCAAAACTGTCTCCTCCTCCAAGACTTGATTTATCTTTAGTTTTAGAACTAGTTTTGGATGTTGACTTCTCATGATTCCCATTTGCTGCATGTTTGTGGAATGGCCAAAGATTTACCAACCGTTCCAATACCCCTGCACTTTTAAAGTAACCTGAGAACCCCTGGGGAGTTGTTGGTGGGGGGAAGTCTTCTGCTGGCATCGCAAACGGCCGAACCATCTGTTCCATCCTATCCAATGTAAGATATGACCCTACTTCTTGCAGCCTTTCTGGACCCATTATTGGTAACGTGTGCTCCTGATGCAGCAAAGCTGCCTCAACGTCATCATCGTTTTTCTATCAAACACAATCATTTTTCAGAATAAAAGTCGAGGAAAAAAAAACTAATATTCTGAACTTTTTGAAATAGATTGATTACCTCCAAGGGGGATAAATCTGCACCACGGCTAAAAGTCATCTCAAGACGATACCTTTTTGAGTCTTCCAAATTTACCTAACTCACATAAACATAATGGGGATGTGACAATTGATTTCTTTTTAAGTTCCTGTATAATGGGAGAAAAAAGAACTAACTACTAACCTCAGTATTTTCAAACATCCTTAATACGATATAGCTCATGTAATCAAGTTCCTTTGTTTTCAAAAGCCGTTCCAAAGCTTGATTACAAACAAGGCTGTCCTCGCCTTGAAGAGATTCATCCAAATTACAGTAACGGAGAACATTCATCAAGGAGTGGATATGTGATTCCTGTCGTTAGGATATATGAACACAAAAAACAATGTCAGATTGATATCATAGTATCACAATCGTACAAAGAAAAATCATACATAATAGATTAAGGCTGATACAACTGAAAATGGAAACAAAACCAAATAATGATGGCAACAATACTTACCGACGTAAAGTAAAGGCGGGTCCGGACGTGCCTCTCGGGTGTCCGAACATTAGCATATCTACAAAAGTGAACAAGGGAAGATCAAATTCTTGGAAATATAAATGTAATATGGCATTGATTATTTACCCACGTTAACCCTACCAGTCCCAGATATTGTCTACTTTGTCCACACATGGACTCACGGTTTTAAAACGCGTAGGTAACCAGTCCCTTATAAGGCAACCTTAGTTCCCTCCCCAACTGATGTGGGATCTTAGAACCCACCCCCTTTGGGAGCCCAACGTCCTCTCTGGCACACTAGTCCAGTTCCCGACTCTGATTTCATCTATAACATCTCAGGCTAACCGTACCAGATATTGTCCTCTTTGTCCACACATGGACTCATGGTTTTAAAACACATCTAGTAGAGGAGGTATCCAGTCCCTTATAAGGCAACCTTAGTTCCCTCCTCAACCGATGCGGGATCTTACACATAAACTCCAGTTTATGGCAACTATAACTATATTCTGATGATAATGTTGTCATTAGTTGCTCAAACAGCACTAGTTCCTGCTGAACTTTTCATGACCCTATTTGTTCAAGAAAGAGAGTGGCAAAGACAATTAGCGCAATAAAAGAGGTCACATGTTAATAGTTTTATACGACGTCTTGATGTACGCCAAAGGGAAAATTCTAATTGTTTGTGTTTATTGTTACCATAATGTAAGACTACATTCATAGCCATATTGGACTTAACCATTAGCTTTGTGAATTTACTGAACGTATAATTGATGGAGCTCTCATGCTGTTAGTGACACGCAAGTTGTATGTTTTTTGCCTCGGTACTTTTATTTAGTCATGTATTAATTAGCTGAACAATTCGCTTACTTATGGAACGCCTAATGTAAATAGTCATATGCAGCCAAGTGACGCTGTTGAAAATATATCTGTAAAGTGGCCTCGACTGTTTTACCATATTAATGCGTTGACCCTAAAGGCGAATATGGTAACATTGCGTTTATAACCCACTACTTATGATTTATTACTAATAGTCCCTTATAAAGCTTGATAGATGATTTTACCCCTCTTACCAAACTATAAATATGGTGGTTATTTGCTACATATTTCCTAACGCCATTTTTCCAGTTCTTTCAAGTTTTAAGGGAGATTAATCATCAAGAGCACATAAGATCAAATTCCATCACTAAACTGGCATTAAGGAGACTGTTTGTGATTCATCCACATCTTTCAAGACAATGGCCTCATATAGTATGACATCATCCAATTTGTTAACAAATGTTTCTGATTCATTTCTAATTCACGATGATCTGTCACAATGGTAGAGAGTGTGGCTGTAATCTATACGAGTGAAGTCCCGGTTTCGAGCCATGCCAATGAGATGCATGCGCTGATTTACCTCCCCAATGACAACCGTGGGACGGTTGGGGGGGTGCCTCAAAGGGTGGCATCTACTGTTTCTTTTTTATGATTACCTTTACATGACATACCAATCTTAGACTTAGTTAATGTTGAATAAACCAACACAATTCCCTCAAACAAATCTGTCTTTGTGTACTACCTTTTTTGCCTCTAAATTCGATGACCAGGACGGAAAAAGGGCAGAAACCATACGATTTATATTATGATATGGAACAAAATCAAAGGTTTGTGTACTCACTTCGGATCCAAACGGTATTTTATCTCTTTGTCATCATCTTCATCCTGATCCATTGACTTCTCACTTGTGAAGCTAGTTCTTCTTGATTCTTCGTTCTTAATAACAAACTTTGGTTGATGATCTGTATGCTCTTTCACATTCTTAATGGAGGTTGAGCTTTGACACTGACTCTTCAATTCTGCAATGTTAATGGCCTCCTCACGTGTATTCCTCAGATCGATCAAAATTTTACCCAACAAACGACGAGCAATCTACAAAGTTGGTAAGGAAGAGTCATATAAATACATGTAGATATTGATAATCATCACCTGGAAGTCTATGAAAATGAAAATACCCCCATTAATGAACTTGCAGTACAAAAGGACCAGAAAAGTTATAAGTGGACATCTTGTATGAAGGAAAAAAAAAAGAACTTGTGATAATGAACAAAATGCCTACAAAATAGCATGATAATAATAAAATGGTGAATGCAAACATTGTGCACAAGGCCTCAATGCATATACAACATAAGGATCACATTTTTAAACCAACTCATAGGCCCATAAGCAGAGCAGCTATGCATATTAGTATATATCTGGTATCAACTCTGAACTTTGAAGAGTGATTCTCTCTAGATCTTAGCACTCTCTGAGAATAATCCACGTGTGAAAAGATACTATCAAAATTATTAAGCAACAGGAATAAGGTACCAAAGAATCAAGTTACCTTGGAGCCTATCTTCAATTTCTGCTTCGGATTGATACCATACTCGTTTGGAATAACACCATCAGCAAGTAACTGAGATAATTGCAGAGATTCAGGAAACTTTAACAATCATATCGTAAAACATGAAAACAAACATGTCCTATTAAGATAAATGTGAATGGCCTTCCTCCACATGAAAACTTAACAGCAGCGTCTAAAGCAGCTCATGTGACATAACAGAACAAGCAATGCAATAGAATAGAAAATTAAGATTTTAGACCATATAGCGGTATTGATTAAGAAACAATACGGTTCTAACATCTACGATACACACCTTACAAGAAACATTTTTTTGGGGGAGGGGGTATTCTTTCTCACACAACATGCTTATTCTAGTTGATAAATCTTTGTACCTGAGCAACTTTGAAGAGCTCATCCAGTCCATCTATATTAAGATGTGCATTGTGCAAGAGATCATACCTGTCAAAGGTTGGAAAAGAAGACGGTAACAGCAAGCATGAGTAAGAATAAACAACTTCAGATCTTCAATACATACATACTAGCAAAATACTGGGGAAGGTATAAGTTATATCCGACATAAAAAAAAAGCAAGAAGCTCTAGCCAGCCAGCCAAATAGAAGTTATATTCAACATAGAAAAGTTAAAAAGTGTAATCTTACTTGCATGAATCGTAAACATCTGGAATTTGTGTTATATCGTATCTACTGTTAAAGGAAAGAAAAGAAAATTGTTAATGAATCTAATGTTATCTGGCATTAACCTAAAAGGATAATTACCAGAGCAAGTTTGTTCTTCTATGTATCAAAAACTTACTCCTTGCGTTCATTATACAAGTCCCTCTCCAGTTTTCTCCACCGTGCATACATCAGAAGAAATCCCTCACTTCCACAAGGTAGTCCAGCAGCAATACGATCAACATCTATATTTGTCTTACCAAGTGCCCTTGCTTGATCATACGGAGGAATCACATCGTATGAGGTTGTCTCAGCAAGCTTCTCATCTTCATCCTTCGCTAGTAGTCTTACTTGCTCGGTAACTTTTCTAGTCAGCTTTACCTATTAAATATATAATCAAATAAGCGTATATTACACAAAAAGAAAGACTCAATGGATCCCCTCCAACTGTTTATTAGTTTCACCACTTGTGACAACAGAAAAATACATCCAATTATCCTAAAAAAATTCGGAATACGTTGCCCACTGCTCAACGTCAATAAGCCACTGAGGTGTAATTGGATTCCCATCAGATGAGCACCTTGTATGGCAAGAGTCTTATCTAATTATATCAAGAGACAATGTTATCAACTTAAACCTTGTTCAATTTCAATGTCTCCAAAAAGTTGGACATCCATTCAGATGATCATACAAGAGAAAGCCCCAGCACCATCACATGCACTTACACAGCTACAGGGAATTCCTTTTGAACCAGCCCTGCTGGCTGGCATTATCTTAAGCCATCCATCTAGGAGATAACTCTTAGAAATCAGCATAATTTATTGCATTACCACCTTATCTAACACCATAATAACTCACAAAGGTAGTGTGCATGATATCCATCTACATGCAAGTATATGCAAGTAAAAAGGAATATATGTCTCTTCTCTAGAAACTGATTGAAGACCAGGAAAGATAATGCCAACCCAGTATAATTTAAATCGAACACACTGGTATGTTCTACTTGGGAGTAGGGTCTAGAGGGTAGGATGTACTCCAACCTGTCCTCTACCCCAAAGAGTAGAGCAGTTGTTTTAGTGAAGGAACTCGGCTTGTGAAAAAGCGTTCGCAAAAAGTTTTGGTAAAAAACTGATGTGCTTCAAAAAGTTTGTCAAAAAAATTTGGAAGAATTGAAAATTTGGGAGGAGCTTGGGACCAAAAGGTAAAAAGGGAGAGCATTTGAAAATAAGAACCAAACTATTACACCGTAAACAGTAAAAGATGTTACACAAGTTGAGAAATATCAACCCAGTATGAAACTTTCTTTTCTGACAAAAGTCCAGCAAATGAATTATAGCTGTGTAATTGGCAATTGCATGATTTCAGTGCTTGATGTAAACAAGTTTGGCGAACATTCTATTCACAAGAAGTGCAATAACAAAGTCACTAATAAAAATAATTGAAACTGACATCCGAAATCAGAAAACCTTGATAGCAGCATATAACTACTTTACCAGTGTAGGTAGAAGCTCTGCAGCATTTAGTGGAAGTCCAGCTCCATCAACCATCCACGGTCTTTTAGATGATCCATTTGCTTGCACTGCCTTCACTCCAGACGTTATCAAGTCATTCAATCTAGCCTGCAAATGGCAGATTTTTTTTTGAACTTATATAAAGCAAAAGAATAAGAAATAACTGATCCTCTGTGTGGGATAGATCTAGAATAGATAAATTTCATGTTTATGTTTGTAATTTTATTGGATTAAAAATCAGTACCATGTGAAGACTTCTTATATTTCTGAAGAGTCAACGTTCAAAAAGCATTGTCTTACTAGAATTTAAAGGAAATTAGCGAGAGAAACAGATGCATTCAGGTAAAGGAGAAAAAGAAACCTTAGCTTCTTCCATCTCAATACTGGCATTATCAAGTCCATCTAACATTGACGAGTCCTTGCTAACAAGTGAAACCTTCAAAAAGAAGTTTGATCCTTTTAGTCATAGCCTATGATAAAGAGGCATCATCAGATTGTTATACGTATAGAAGATGACACACCAGTATTGGTGTTAATTGTCCTTCCAAGTCTAGGAGGCCCTTAGCAAATGCAGCAGCTGACATCTGTTGACAGATGTTTAACCCACAAACAGGTATGTAAGTAGTCAAATAAAAGTATGGGTAGGAAACAAGCAGAAACTTAGCAAATATGGAAGACAAAGATGTGAATCCACAAGGTTTGAAAATGGTGGGACAAGTGTATAGCACTTTGAATGATGAGGCCCAAGAAAACAACATGCAAACCAAAGCTGATACCTGCACACGGCCCTCATCAGAGCTGTAAATCTTAAGGTCATGCCGATATGTACTGTGGAGGCGAAGCAGTCCAGTACCTTCACCTGAAATATATTAAGTAAGAGGGTCAAAGGTGGAGGGAGGATATGAAATCACACCCAACGAACTGGTTATTACATGCAGTTGCATAGCTTCTTGAGAGCTGAGAGAAAATCATATGATAAGCTGTATCTCAGGGTAAACACAAAACATCTGCTACTGCCTTTGATGGTTGAAAGAAACTACCATGTCTCAATGTTCCCCACTCCTTTAGGAGAAAGATTATCATAAAGACATAAAGAATATGCACTGCTTTCCAACAAGAAAATGAAACAGAAGAAAAATTAAATTCCTCTTGGTAATCTGCAACTATTTAAACCCCACATAGTGTTCGCATATTAGATAATAAAATAGAAAAGACTCTGACCTCGGAATCTCTCTGCAAAGAAGAAACCTACACATGGGCCACTCCAGATTAAGAGTTGAAGCTTTAAACTGTATACCTTGATACCAGCAAAAGTATCTTTCCTAGAGGCTACATCCACAAGACCCAGATTACAGAGAGCCTAAACTTTGTCTTGTATCCTCACTGCTAATGGTCATGCCCTCATGACTCACAAAGAAACCTCACCCAGGTTTAGGAAGATCCTAGCATGTAGAAAGAAAGAAGTGGAAGGGCATAATTCACTCGAAATTCCTGTAAAAAAGGCTTCGAGCTTCTATAAAGCTCGTTTTTTGCTCTCCACTTACACGATACACTCCCTAAAAAATAAGATGACGAGATCCTCTAAATAACTCAAGGTGAAGCAAAATGATTGACTGTCTCTTGGCTTCTTATTGCCAAATCATAGTTAAAAAAAACGTCAAAATCACCTCAAGGCAGCAGTAAGTTGAATTTTTTTTAAAACCAATTAGATCAGCTGCAGAAAGACCCTACCATGTACAAGGAAGGAGGTGAGAGGGGATAATTCCCTCTAAGTCCCTCAATAACTTCAGGTGAAGAAATATTCATTTAGTGCCTCCTCTTGACTTTACCATTACAATATAGTCCAAAAATGTGTCAAACTCGACTTGAGACAGCTGTAAGTTGAAACTATAAATAAATACCGAAACTAATCAAAGACCTTCATTCCTCCTGTAGTGCATTTTTTATGGGTATTTTGTAACAAAAAAGCATGTACTGATCCTGTTTCTGGAACTCTCGAGTATGATCTTTTGTTGGACCTATCTGTCTGATGTCTAGATTGTCAGCAATAAGTTAACAATAATAATAATAAAAAAGTTAACAATAATGGTAGCTTCACTTTGTTAGTTCTCATATTTCGCTCCAAATACATACCAATTGTGGATTCTAAAAAAATCATTCTGAGCAGAAAAGTTGCAATGCGAAGAATAGCTAGAGCTTGTCTGTCCACTTCTATTTTATATACATTGCTTATTACCACTACTTGTAAATCAGTTTCTTATATAAATGAATTAGACCTTGGTTACATGTTTCCATATGAACCACTAGAAAGGAAATAGTTGCATAAGAAATGAATAATATGTACCAGGATACATATTGTTGCGGAAATATCTGCCAAGTTCTTCAGCCTGTCAATAGGAAAGAAATAGGTAATGCACATCGATTTAAATAATGATGATGGCGCTCCTGCTGTTTAAAGACAAAAATTTATCTGTACCACTTCTGTTAACCATGATCGTAAATGTGTTTGAAGACAATCAAGCCACAGTCTTATATATAAAGTAGGGAATTTGAAAATCATTAAAAGTAAAGACCTGCTTCCGCCCCGCATGTGTAAGAACGCCTCCATATTTAAGAACCATGAGCGCTTCTATGGGGCGTTCTTCTTCAGTATCAGCCTTTGCAACTTTAACCCACTTAAGTGGCTTAAGTTGAACTTTCCGATAAATGCCAGAAAAATGACCACCCTGTAAAAAGAGCAGTTGTCAGTTACCTACAATAAGTATAAGTTAGAAAATAGCACGTAAAAGCTCTATTGCATCAACATACACTGTAATGCTTCATTTCCTTTTTGATTGGAGCACAAACACATGGCAGACCAAAACATATCGGGATGGTTGTTAGCTCTCCACATGTTAAATGCTTGTGAGGTGAAGTTTATAGGCAGCATAATGAATAGACGAGGATTGTTAGTGATTTAAGTTTATTAGTCCAGTGCTAATAATAACAAACACTTAAGTTGTGGTCAGAATTTCGTTAGGGTGCTCACAACGCATAAGCATTGAAATGAATTGAACAAGCCTTTGGTCCCTAAAGTTCAATTAGATTAGGGAAAAGAACTCAGAGAATTGAAAAGATATGCCCGAATGTTGAGGCTCTTTTCAGACCGGCAAGTTGAGATTCTATTAATTATAGTTTCATAGTCCTCGACTATTTTTACCTTGTACATTGAGGTAAGGGTCGAAATAATGAAATGTGTGCATTTCGGTGCTGCTGTCAGGTTGGTGATAGAGATGTAGGCAATTCACGTTATTTGCCTAAGTTATTTCTATGCTTCAGTTAGGGTTATATCATCGCGGCCCATGGCCCACTTCTATACTCTAATACATCTAGATTTGCTACCGAAGAACATGCAGATTTCAATAAACCATTCGTACAATTTGGCAAAGCTGGCCTATTTACTATTTAGTGGTTAGAACAGACAATTCTCAGCTCTACATGACCTAAATCCGGATTCACGTTCTTCAGACTCGGTACGTACTAGTTCTCATTTAACAACTTGTCTGACCATTTCAGGTGGAACAAGCCCATAATTCATTCTTGGATATATCATACAATAGTGTTTATTTTAAATCACAGTTAAATAACTGTAGTTCGATTCAGATTCTATAACCAAACAAGCCCATAATATCCCACCCGAAGGTGGGAACTTGGGGGATGTACACAGACCTGACCTCAACTCCAAAGATACATGTTCCATAGTAGAGGACCAGAAAATTCATTTGTCCAATGGAATCCTAATCCCAAAGTTTAAGCGCCTTATGGTTCAAGATAATACAGAGTTATCCTACAACCTTCTACGATAAAAAAAAACTATGGAGCATGATCAGATAAGCTCGTCTTCTCCCTATTTCCCTTCCTCATAAGCTAAAGCTTTATAGAACATGTGGTTGATGAATAAAAAACAGAATAGAAAAGGTCCAAGGGTTTGGAAATATAATACTAGTGACCTTATGGTTCAAGAAACAATAGGCATCTAGTTCCCAAGTTATTCTAACGACAGGAATTCATGGAACATTTCACAATTAAATGGAATTCCCAGTTCCTCCTTTGCACTCTCCTCTCCTTTCCTTGCCCCACACCTCAAACCATCATCATTTTGCAACACCCACACATTATTGAACAACTAGATTTAAGACTACACATAAAGCAAGCATAACTTTGAACAGCCCACCCTCTTGGTTATCATTGCTCAAAATGCAAATAGAAGGAAATGGTCTTCGATAAACTTGTAGCAATATGAGCTTTCCAACGAGTATATACTCATAATACATCTCCCTTTTTGAACATGAAGAAATATTCCTAATCTGCAATCCTATAGAAAAGTTGATCAAAAGATTGTAGTGTTCTAATCCATGAAACTTCATTAAGATAACATCATTGATCAAGATACGAAACGAAGGCGGAATATAGGAAATAAATATATAGAATTGAAGTAAGAATGATAAATTCAAATGTAAACCTCTTCAAGAACTGCTTTAACTTGACGGAGCTTTTCCGCATGTTCAATGTCTTCTGCTTCACTATCACTTCCTGGACTAGGTCTACAGAAACCAAACCATCCCATTAAAATACATAACGTCACTTCTTTAACAAAGAACATATTGTTCCCATGATCCATACTATAACATCATAACCGATTACAAATTAACTAGAATGATACAAGAGATGCAACAAAACTCTAATTTCCATATCACCTACAGCTCCTCCCTTTAGAAAGGTATAATTCACAAGTCCATAAGAGCTTCCCGGAAATAGGCAATTATTATGATTGAAGTGAGCACTTTAAGCAAGATATTTGGAGAAGGAATATCAAAAGTCAAAGCAGCAACCACTAGAGAATATCTGAGAGGGTGTCCATCCTCAAATTGTCCCAACAAACATGACCTATATATTTTACTTTCTTAGGAACAGTTACAGTGATTGGACAAAATGTGATAAGTACATACTACCCCCATCCTTTATGTGAGATAGAGCAAAACGAATGTACATCAGCAGAAAAAGGTTAGGATGGAAGCACAACTAAGAATTTATTTAAGACCGAAATGTTTTTAAGAGGATGGGACAGGTTGACCACAGGGGGAAGATCATTCGTAAACCTTAAGACCAAGTGTAAAAGCATTATTTATTCAGGAATTAGTTTAAATGGAAAATGCTTTGCATCTGAATAAATACCTAGTACGAGGTACTAATATCCTTGTAGCATCTAACAAGTCCTGCAATTGGACTGCACTTTTGAGTTTTGTCTGCAAGAGGAATTGCCGACAAAAAGATAAGCCAGTTTAACAAGTAATTTAGGAACAAGTGGAAATAAGATAGGGACGCTAAAAAGCACCTCAGCTCTTGGTCGGCCGCCATTGTATTTTAGCATTAAATTCAACAATTTTTCCTCAGTGACCTTCAACTTCACCTTTTGCTTTGGAGTTCTATCACCACTGCAAAAAAAAAACAGTTGCTTACAGAATAACAATTAAGTGCTCACACAACCTAGAAAAGAAAAGCAAGGATGTATATCTTACTGACGAATAATAGCAATCACACAACGTAGCTCCTCGGCCTGACCAAATGAGCCAATGATCCCACTTCCCTGACGTGTTAGCCCCTCAGAAGGCTGAGCTGGTTCATTGACCTTCCAAGGCAAAATTGGTGGAATTGTTGTTGAAAGATGGGGAGCTTTTGCATCTAAAAACATCTTCCTCAACACACAAGCAGCATCATCATAATATCTGTAGTTACATCAACATCATGAAATCAGCAGGACAACATATGGAACATTCTATAAACATCTATGCACAAAACAAACAAGAAGTGAATGGATGAGCAACCCATGCACAAGTATATAACTACATTATGCTTGTCAGGTCGAGGAGCACACATAGAGACATTACCAACCCTTCATATTTCTGACTTTAATTTGCTTAGATGACACCTAACCTACCACTACCACGGTTATACCATGCAGCATAACTATCTCAAGTGAAAATAATTGCTTTTATGGAAGAAAAAGATGGAAGGAAATTCCAACACATATTTAGAAGAAACATACATACATCAGGTTACTGGAGCACTCGTCTAGAAAATCCCGAGGAACATAAAAGGGGAGAACATAAATTATGCTACTGAAACCATAAATTTTCACTGGAGGATATAATCATTCAAAATTTCATTAGGTTTTTACTCCTTCCAATCAAGGGATGCTTTAACCGCCCTTCTAATATTCAGAGGCAGCTTTCTGGATGTGTTGTTTCCTTAGGGTCTTCCCATCACATCACGCATTGTTTTTTTTTTTTTTGGCATTTATAAGCAAGAAACATATGGAGGTCTTGCTGAGAAGTTATTGAACATGCAATGCAACTACAATTTCAAACAACAAATCAGTTTCTTTAAAAAGACTCAACAACCACGTAGATATACGTCACTAGTGCTTATTACTTGTAGGAGTTTTTGACAAAGCTCCATCCATTCACATCACAAACGTATGAACGGCCTTCACAGCGCAAGAGATCAAACCCACAGACCTGTAGAAACATGAGTACGCAAATAATCAGACAGTAGCTAAGTTGGCAAATGGACATGGAAAATTCCACATTAATGGGCAAATCTATAGCTCACCACACTTTTAATATTAAAGGCATGTAAATTAATGTGCATCCTCTCCCCTCATAATTATAATATCTCACTTTAAAAAAGAAAAAAAATGGTGGTAATTACGGAGATTGCTCTTTACTAATTTGTATTTTATGACTTTCCAATTGTGACCCAGTGTAGATTTCTCAACAAACGACAAAATTTGCTCACAAGATTGCTAGGAGATGATAGATTAACCACTTCCATTTGTTGATAAAATGGAAATGATGATAATAAAATAATGCATGTTATACAATTTCATAAACCATCTGCTGGCTGCAAAATGGCAAAAGAGTTAGGAGATTTAGTCGAAACCAATAGCAAACTTTGTTGTGGATTTCAGTGTGGAGTTGAATGCGTTCTTGAAGATAGAGGTAAAAGCTGAAAGGTTTTCACAAAATGATGTCACAAGTTGAGTAGATTTAGAAAGTTAGAGAGGAACCAGAAGGACACACACATGAATTTCGAAGATCATACAAACATATTCACCAGTGAAAAAAATTGCAAGAGACTTCGCAGATAATGTAGCAATAATATAACCTACCCCTTGCCTAAATGCAATGCAAACTTCTCTTGCCATTTGTTTCTCATTTGGAGTAAGAAGCACTGGATACCTGACCTGCCAAAGATAATAACAAATTCAAATAAATATCGAGTCAATTTTCTAGAGCCCTCCAATATGCAAATAGATTTATAGAACGGAGAAAGATGTCAAGATATTATACAAAGTAAATCACATATGTTGCAAAATTCCTTGACATAACTTGTCCTTAGTTCTTGGTACAAGCCCTAATAAACTGTTCCTGTACTACTGTTTCAAGAGTATGTTGTTGATATCTTTGTGTAAGACAGTATGAAATGCATATATCCTGTAAGGAGCATGGGTGATTTTAAAAAAAAGATATACAAGATTGGAGCATATGTACATGGAACATATGGCCACTTGCTGAGTTTGGAAGCCATGGATACTAGACAAACAGTGGCTAGCCCAAAACAAAGGGTAACAAAATCGTTAAGCAATGGCACTTGAAAAAGAGACACAGAAAGTGAGAAACAAGCAAAGAAAACGACTTATGCTCTATGTATCACTCACTTCTTTGCCATCTGGATTTCTCATAACTACACCATCAACAACTGGAGACTTCCTTGCCTCAGCGTGTGCATATTCGGGCCCAACTGTATACACCTACAAGATAACAAGTAACCAGTAAGCAAGATGCTACCTGGATGCAAAAAATATCTAACCACCAAGAAAACAAATGCACCTTAACCTAACTCCTTGCCACCCATAAACAAAAAGCAGCATGGGTATCAATAGTCCTAAAAAACGTTATTAAAGCTTTTGGATGCTAAGGTGAGAATATTGTTTTTTTATGTTCAGAAATCATGCATACAGAGGAATTACATGGAAGAAACTAGCACTGCAGAAGTAGATCAAAATTTTGGTTACTCTTTGTGGACAAGGCACCAGGAATTATGTGGCGCTGGAATAGAAAAGGCTACACATTGTCAATAAGTTAGAAGCATAACAAGTAATACATTACTAAGTGCTCTGACCAATATAACTGAAATCCATATCTTTGTGTGATAGTCCTGGTTCATACCATTGTTTAAGCTGTTAAACCTGCACAATTACTTCATTTACTAAGCGGATGTGCCGCACTTTTCTTTTGTTTTGATGTAAATGCATATAAGTGTTGAAAGAAGAATGGGATCAATTAACAGGGTCAAAATGCCAAAACAAAAAAGGAGTCAACCCTGTTTGACAAAGGGTGTAGGATTAAACTTTTGACCCTAAGTGCATCCTATGCCCAACTCAATTCAGAAGAAGCATGTTTAGGCAGGTCGTAGGGCTATGCTCCTACCCCAAGATAGGGCTATGGCCTACTGAAGAAAGTGTGTTTGGAACAAAACGCTTGCCTACACGGCTACACCCCTATTGCTTATTATGCCCTCTATAAGAAAGTCCGATTTTGGAAAAATGTGTGGTATTTGGAGAGTACTTGAGCAAGTGGCATCAAATTTGGAGCCTGAAAGGTATGTTCATGCACATATAAAGAGGCCTTGAATAGCACTTGTGAAGGAATTCTCACATTTATTCACCATCGTATATTCAAAAAATATGCCTATTTTTTAACCTCTTCCAAAAGTATGCTTGTTTTATTTCATTTCTCAAAATAATGTTTTTTAATTAAAACAAAATATTTTTTTAAAACAACACACACACACTCTCTCTCCTCCCTCCCTTCCCCGTGATAGCCCCTCCTCAATTCTCAATTCTCTAAACTAATTCCTCAACCATTAACCAAGAAAACTGCTTAGTTTTCAGAAAATATCTTTGGAAATCTTCAATTAAAAAGTGGTCAAGGTGCCTTAACGAACCCACGTCTCACCCAACAAGTGTGGGGGTCCAAGAACATGATGTGCCCACCAACCCCCAGCACAGAGAATACCTCACCCTCTCCGCCATGTTTCGTGGAAGATGTCCACCAAAGAAGTCAATGAACAAATGATCAATGCAGAAAACAAAAACTCTGGTTGGGACTACTACACCAATGGTGGTTACTTAGGTGGAGAACCGTTGCCTATAACGTTGTCCACTTCTGGCAGTGGTATATTACTTCGTAGCTCTTCATTTGATCCCTCATTATGACAATATAAATATAAATATTGTCTGTGATGGGCATGACCATGGTGGTGGCCGAAAATGGTGGGGGATGTCATGGAAAGGAAGAGGGAGGAGAGAGTGTGCATTGTTTTCCAGAATTTAATTTAATTCAAAAACGTAATTTTGGAAAATAAAAATAATACAAACATATTTTTGGATGAGGTTTATAAAATAGGCATATTTTTTTAAATTTACTCCCGTTTCACCCTACTCTACTTCATTCACGTATTTCCCAACTTCTCCTTCCTCCACTAACTCTTCACCCACCCACCTCATTCTAAGTGATTATGGTGTCCTTAGCCCCTAATCCCTTCCTTGGCAGGCAGAATCAAGTGATTGTCAGCCTAAACTTATACCCACCAAGTGAAGCCCCACTGCATCTTGAAAATGTTGCTACAGGAATGAATCTTATGGAGGGGTAGGAACCTCACACCTCCTCTAAAAGGTGAAACCTCAAAGGTAGATTGTATCTTTATTTTCATGTGATTCTTTCATCCATTGTATTGTCATGTGAGCTATGAGAGCAATTTGCAAGTGACATACATTACTGGTTTTCTTGAATATACCTAGCTTGTCACATTTATTATTTGATTGCAATATGGACCAATTCATAGATAGACTATGAGCATAACCCAATCATACCAACACACATATGGCCCTGCCAAGGATCAATCGTTATTTTCCCATTTCCATTTTCTTTTGTTGAGAAATTCCCATTTCCATTTAGTGCAAAGTATTATCTAATTGTCTTTTATTGGTGAAAGTTCTAGTTATTAGTCTTAAATATTATCTAATTATCATTTTTGTTTCTCTCCGTACATGGTTCATTCAACACATCCGATGGTGATGTTGTGAGCATTGTAACTAAGTCTTCAATTATTGTGTTTTTGATGTCTTGGTGCACTTTGAAATATTACTTGCATTATAACTTCTTGCATCATTTATACATCTTAGAAGCCCTTTATGGATCATTCTGAGGAACCTAAGGATTCTCTAAAGTCATCAACTTTGAATCCTAACATGCCATCTTCCTAACTCATCTCATCCCACCTACAACTAAAAAACAGCAAGCTCTAGATTAAGAACGATAAATGAATGGTAAATCTTTTTTCCTGTTTAATTATTTTTCCTTAGGGGAATTAGATATTGTACATTGTTAGCTGACAAAGGATATTTAGGGTTTTATTTCCTAGTTTTCTAATAGTATAGTTTTCAAAGATGATTTCTTAATTGTGTATGCATATTCATGTAATCTCTTCTCAATATAACACATATAATTTTCCTGATTTCCTGAATATTCTTACAGGGCAAGGAGAAGAGTGGAGGTAGAAGTTGCATATCCAAGAATAATGGATGGAACTAACAGGAAAAGCTTGATACCGAATTCTAAACCAAAGTAACATCAGTGTAGCTCGATGCTATCCATATGTCCAGAATAAATAGTCAAGAAAAAAATGAAAAGAGAAGTTCAATATACAACCTTGACATCTGTTCCTCCAGTTGGCATAAATTCCTCGTATATATAAGAACCTTCACGCCTCACTCTTCTGACCTCTGGATGAAACTCGCTTGATCTGTTTCCAACCTGAAAGAAAGGTACGTCTCTGGACAATTTATAACATAGTAATTACTAAGCAAATACTAAAAGTGCATACCAACTACAAAAGACAAGATTTACGCATGCATATCTCGTATGAAGATGTATCAAGTGTTAAGCAAAGCAAGTGACTCAGGATCTAATCCTAAAAGTTACACTACAGGATTCTATCTACTGTTATTTTGATAACCTAACCAAAATATTTGGAACATTTAAAATCCTTGATAGCATGAGTTTCACGTTAGAAATTAGAACAAAAGGAACCAGCATTCATACATCTATGACACTTGCTTGAATATCTGTTTCCAAGAGTTCAGGAAATGGAAATTAACATTTTCTGAGGGCCGGCAGAAGGTTTATGGTAATTAAGGGCTTCAAGCAGAAAAGCACAATAAACCAAACAAGTAAAACCCAATATTGATTGGCAACTTGAGAATGTCATATTGGAACATGTTATACCTAATTATTGAACTTCAAATATCAGATGATATAATTGCTAATGCTACTAACTCTTAGTAAAAGACCATAAATTAAGACCATTTACATGTGTCCTGCAACAATTGACATATTAAATATATGACAAGCCAAAAAAAGGGAACACAAAGAAAAAACTGAAAACAAGTGCACGAAAAAAGAAGAAACAAATAAAATCACTTAACACTCCATACATTATATCCATCAACCCATGCTCATGAATCATAAGCAGAACATTGGTCATCCTTACCCTGAGCACCGAACCTCCCAAGAAAACCCTCTTCAAACCATAATCTTCCCATTGTTTTCTAATACGGAAGCTCTATCAACTAGCATGGTACAGAGAAAGACTTGGAATTATAGCATAACAATTTACAAGTGAGTGTTCATTTCATATTTCAAAGGAGAGCTCAGAGATCAGGCTCCTCAGGCATGCACAACTATTTAAGGGTATGAGCTTGGGACAGGGATAGCACCATAGGTAGCCTTCAGGCCACATCTCTGCCTAGGCATTTCATCTTACAAAGCAAAGAGATTAGCGGGTGTTTCTGGTGAAAGCAGCTGAGCCCATGACAAGGACGTTTCTTTAACATATACAAGTACAGTGACCTTTTCACCCAAATCTTTGGCTAAGCTAGGATTACCCTTCAGATTCTCTTAACACAAACATTTGAGCCCACATACTTCTCCAGGATTATGCAAAAAACAGAAAAAGGTCACTCTAGTTTATGAGTTTCACTAGTTCCAACTTCCACAGAAATATCAAGTCGGAAAGCTCACCTTTCGAAACAATTCTTTCATGCCACCCCCTGCTGCACTGGGGTAATATATCATTATTCTGTGATCATCACCTTTAAACAAGGAAAAGCAGAAAAACTAACCCAACTTAGTTATGCAAAATGTATAGAAAAGCTTACAGAAGTGTCCGCATTACTCAGAAACAAAAGTTCTAAAAGTGTGAACAGCACTTTATAGAAAGAAAAAGAGTGAAAGGAATTATGTATAAAGCTTACAAAGATTAGAACGAGCAAATACTGAGGCACATACAAAAAGAGTAGAAACAACAAAAAAGTATATTGAAAGGATTATGACGGATGCATACCATGAACGGGCTTCTCCACAAAAGGCTTCCAAAATCTCTGCCCATGAACCTCAACAAAATCTTCTTCCTCAACAAAATACTCCAACTCTTGATAGGGTTTATCCCTATTTACTAATGCATATCTTGGAACAGGAATTCCGTACATTTCAAGACACTTGATTTTTTACCATGAAAGGAAGAATTTAACATGAAAACAGAAAAAGGAGAATCACCATTAGTAAGTGGGGAAGAATAAGAATCAGCAGAGAATTTATTTTGGTCCTTAGAAAACATAGAAACATCATAAGTTTGTCCAATTATATGTATTGACAATGTATAGTCAAAAGTGATGATTTGCCAGGACAGAAATGGAGCTCGTTGCAGCTAGCACTGGGTTGCTTAAGTCTAATGTTAGCATCTTTACTGTAACTGTGGTATCGACCCCTTTGGCCTCCTAGTAGATGGAGTTCATGCAAAGTCCCCCCCACCTCATGCACACACAAGATATGTGAACTTTTTCCCTTCTGGAAGCATTGCCCACACGAGGAGGAACACCCTCCATGGAGTTGAAACAAGGTCGTCTCTCTAACACAAGTGTTAGAGACCAGGCCAATTGCCACTTCAACCCCCCCCCCCCCCCCCCCCCCCTTTCAATATAAGCACTTTGCTGACAAACTGAGCTTAAAGCAGATGAAGACAAGTATTCTCATTCAAGCCTGTTAAGTTGAGCTCTGTAAGGGAAAAGGATATCTATGGTAGGTTATCGTGACTCAACAAGCTTAGAAAATAAGCTCAGCTTATTGTTTTTAATCTTACAATCGAAGTTCTCAATAAACATCTAGCTAAGTGAAGCCAAGTAGCTTGACTACTTTTAGTCTTTTACAACCCTACACTTTACCCCAGAATATTAACAAAGGAAAAGCAAAGAAAGGCCGGAGTAGACCTCAAGACGCCTCCTGTAACTGGATTCACTTTATATACATAAAGCATAGATGGAACTCTTATGCCTAGATGGATCAGTTTACTCCACCTTATAGCACTTGTGGTTATGATGATTGATAGATGACATCTTACAATATAAGGTCACCCCTTATTGGCCACTACAATGGAATAAAAATAATGGGCTTCGAAGAATTTAGATGCTACTATACAGAGGAAATGGACATTCACTTAACTGGAATAACCACAACCACAGAAAGCATATCCTAACTTCTCAACAAACATGTTCTAAATTCTCAACAAACATCAGCATCTAATATTTTGTTAGATCATATACATAAGGAGATTCATATGCCTCTTATAAAATCCTACTTCGCAATCATATGTACCCTTTGATGTCTCATGTGGATTTTGTTATCTTAAACACTCTCCACAAATCCTTTTTACCAAATTAAGCATAAAAAGAATGATAAAGTGAGATTGGTCAGCTTTTTCTACTTCAACTCAACAGAAATATGGTATTTGCAACAGGTAGTCTTGTTAGTATAAATCTTTAAACGAAAAATTATATAATAGCAACTACAGCCTCCCAGTCCCAGAATTCCCTTATAAGCCATTGCACAACATGAGCAGGTTCAATTAGCAAAACATGGTATTATTGAAGGTCATCAAACGTCATACCTCATATACTTTCCTCCGGTCATGAAGAAGGTGTTGGGGTTCCAACTCATTCACAAGGAAAGGTCTGGAGAAAGAATATGTAAAATGTATAGTGAGTAACCAGCTTTTGCTGGACCGCTGGTGGCTGTCACAGTCTCACAGATGCTTGCATGCTAGGTAAATCACATAAATGGTAATGAAAACTATTACAGGAAATCAACCGTTAGCTTCAAACTATGAACACTAATGTCGGAAAGATTTGAGATATGCTTCTGGTCTGTTTCACCCATTTGGACGAGATGGCAATACATACAGAAGAAGAAAGGGCAGTGTGTGCGTGCATATAAAATAAAGTATGTCATCATGATATGCCTACTATATGTTCCTCAAGAATTGATACACGATATGTACAATCAAACAGATAACTACAAGCCAACTCAAGAAGAATAATCGGAAATGCAAGTTACAATTACAATTTTATAAGGAAAATGATCATCATTTCAAGAAAGCACCGTCCTGCAAATTGAGACTGTACAGGCAATTGCATAGATACTCCCAAAAGTAATTATCATCTCTGTACTGCCAGACAATTATACTAAAACTACAAACTGAATGTGGAATTATTTATACTGTTTGAAATGATTATAATCTAGGATTTTAAATATTTACTAAATTTAGACACAAGGTAAGATAAATAAAAAAGAACTTCAAAGACAATATACAACTGCCTAAAATGAGCAACGCACCATTTAGATCCAGACAGAAAGACACTTGATAGGTTTAAACACTAGTAATAGTTTATGTCTTGCATCTGTGTTGCATCTGTGTAGTGCATGCAATACAGAGGAAGTGTTTTCAAACAATCCAACACAACTCTGCTAGAATTTGCCAAGGAATAATCATATTACAAGGATGCTCTAAACATGCATGAGGGGACTTTTACCCCAAACAAATTGGGGGTGGATGAGAAAGCAGCTCTTATCATACATGCTGGAAAGAAACAGAGAATTGTAAGAACAAAGAAACAAAAAACACGTACTTCCTCAGTGCGGCATATGCTTCAGCCTTTTCAAGTGGATATCCAGACGAATGGAAAGCAATCAAACAATCACATATTGGCCACCTGAAAAAGCAGACTCAGGGCTATAATTGTCAAGTGAAAGAGGGTACAAGGAGAATATTTTAACAGCACCATTTCTCAAAATGCATGTTTGAGAACAGAGATCAATATTTACATAAATACAAGCACAAATATTGTATTACATTACTGGCAACCATTAGTTTGAAAACAATATAAATTTTAAAATGTCGAAGTAACAATTGGTGGTTATTGACTTGCTATCTGCCGTTCACCTCATTTAATTGCCTTCATGTTAAAACTAATAAGTAATTCCATTGACAAGGGAGTGATTTTCTCAATTTTTGAAGGGAAGAATTCTATCTATTAGTTTGCAACATGAAATGAGAAATGTTTACTGTAGAAACAGTATCACGATAAGTCAACAAACAAAAAAACATATATATATATATATATATATATTATATATCAGCTTTGAAAAGTATTAGGTTCAAATTCTTGGAGATCTGAAGTAGACTCTAGCTGTGAAGAAGAATTTCATAAACACTATCTATGTGAAGAATACTTTTCGAAGTAAGCCATAAATCAAGACTACAAAACTACTACAAATTGATGACCAATTGATACTTTTGAACTGATCTTGTATAAATCTACCTCTCTATCGGATCCTCCAGGATAACTTTGTCCCCAAAATGGATAATCTACATAAGCATACAACATAACGATTGTATCAGCTACAGGTTTAGCATACAAACAAGTGATATCGATGATTTCATTCAGGGCAGTTAAAGGTTACTTGCATGTCAACAAAACCACGAATAATACGATGTCTATTCACCAACTTTTTTAAGAGAATCTGATGGCCACACTTAACATGGAGCCACTTGCAACTTTATAACTTGAGAATATCCGAATCTCACTTCTATTTCATCCAAAAGCTTAACCGAATCAATTCAAAAATACAACTCGAGAAGAAATTAATCGTTAATAACTTGCCTCAAATTCACCAAACGCTTGCAGCCTGTCTAAAATTTGCCCCATCGGAGCGGAGAAAACCTAATGCCGCCATAACCGCCGCCACCAGAAGAAAAAATTTAGTAAAATAAATAAACGATAATAGAATAGAATGAAATCAAGAGAGAAACGCGATCACTGAAAACACATTCGTTGTATAATCTTGTCCATCGGAGAACTACTAACAAATGTGTCTAAAATTCAATAAAAAGAAACAGAACCTCGGGGCCGCATTTCACCTTCTTTTCCATAACACAAACACCAACTGTGATCTTCTTCCCGACACCATTATTCCCCCTCCCCTTCACCATCTCTGTTTCTTCTCTCTCCAACTGTAGTGTATCACTTTACAAACTGAAAATATTCAACAACACAGACACGACATTGATATTATATATGTGTACATGTATGTGTGTGTGTGTGTATATATATAGAGAGAGAGAGATTGAGACGCAAAGGAAGTAGCCATACCAGAAAGATAGCGAGAATCTCGGTAGAAAGAAAGGAGAGGTACGTCAGATCCTTGTGATCTGGCTCTCGATATCACAAGAAAGAAAGGAAAGGCGGAGACTGGTAACGGAAACATACCGAAAAAAGGAAAAAGTGTTGGCGTATTTATAAGAATATCCGTGAAAAAGGGATTTTGTATCTGGAGATAAGGTATGTGGTGATTCTGGAATATACACATTATACATCTTTCAGGGTAAAAAGGATTCGCCCTTTTCCATTTCTTTTTCTCCATTCAAATAAAGAGCGATGGTGATTTATCATATAGTTCAATATATTATTGTAACTGCTACATTTTAATTTTAAGAGATGTTTGAGATTATTTATTTGAAATAATTTATATTTCTTTTTAAATTTTTATCAACTTATTATAAGTTAGAATGTTTAACTTTTTAAAAACTTTTTATTACCGGTTTGATACTAGTATAAGTTATTTATCCAAACACTCAAAATTGTTTATTACCGGTGTCACACCGTAATAAGTCAATAAGTTGTTTTTATAAGCAATCTCAAACGTCCTCTTAATATATTTTTATAAATATTTTAATTGTTTTCTAATATAAAACGTTGATAATAAACTATAATCATCTTTTATAAATATTCAAATTATGATAAATGAAATATCATTATTTTTTTGTAAATATATTAATTTATTGGATTGTATAATTTATAACAATTGCATTAGTTGTAATTCTATCTAAAACCTCATCTCTTTCTCTTTCTCTTTTCTCTCTCTCTCTCTATATATCACATTTTATTTATACAAAATATGAAAATTAATTTTACATTAACATAAGTTAGTTTCAGAAAATATATATATATATATATATAAATATGGATGTCAAATTGAAAACGATTAATCGATCATTTTTTTATAATTTGGTTTGCTCCAAATTTTGATTATGTTTCTTTTCCTGATTAAAAAACAACAAAAGGTTTTTTTTTTTTTTTAAATAAATTTACAACTACGAGGGAGTTTTATACACAAATACAAATCATTCAAATTTTACATAAATAAATAATCGAGATATTTATTGAGTATCATCATGGTTCATTTATTATGATCGAGATATTAATGAAAGATGATAGAATTTATTTTTTATAATCATCGCTTTATATTAAGATATAATTGAAATATTTATATACCTGAATATCTTTTAAACTAAATGTATCGATAAGATTGATTTATATGGTTTATTTAAAACTCACTATTACACATATCCATTTAATACTCAATTAATATGGGTCAAATAGTCAAATATTAAAAAAACAAAAAAATAGACCACCATGATTGATCCTAAGATTGCAAGAGGAACCGGCGAAAATAGAGTATCTGTATAAATACGAATTCTTATGAATCTGTTAGATCAAGAAAGATTGTATTTTAGCATCAATTTGTATAGAAACTTAAATTGATTTGTAATTGTTGTGTAATTTTGACTTGACTAACAGCCGTACGGAATCAAAATTCAATTACATTTTAGGCAAAGAAAAAGGAACGTATTTGGGTGATTTTAGTCAACTTATTATAAATTAATGTTCTGCAAAATATTAAATGTAATTAATTAAGATGTCAATTGTTATTTTTGTAACCGTAAAATCTAATAAGTATAAATTAATTACATTAAGAGGTTGTTTACTAGATGTTTATCAAATAAGCGTTTAACATGTGTCATTTACCTTACCATGTGGCCATTATGAAGATCGGGAATCTTAATCAGTAAAAGACATAACAAGTGATGGAGGAGGCTATTGTCCGGTAAGTGTTATTGGGTAAAAGATGTAGGAACAAACTATTTTGATAGCAAAAATCTGAGGGTTGGGTTCCGGTAAGAAGCGTAAGAAGAGATTATCACTTTTGAATCAATCATAATTGAATGTCAAAACTAATGAGGTGCACTGAGATACACCGGATCAATTTTCTTCTAAAGCACAATTCATGGGTGAGCATGAAATTAAATGTGATCAAGGGTTTAGATCTTTTCTTACGTTGTGCATCATAACTTCTCTTCTCACACGATCTTTCACCTAAATTCGATATGGTAAGTAAGAGTATTAACTCTTGTCAACAAACGCTTACCCCGTAAGCATTTGGTAAACGACTGTTGGCTTAAAGTGTCATTTTAATAAATAAACCCACAATATGTTTAAAAAAGACATTATTTTATTCAGACGCTTAATTCTAGAAACATAACTTCAAAAACATATTTCAGTATTTTAACAATGTTTAAAAATGTACATTTAAGGAAATACACTTTAAAAAAACACATCAAATTTTACCTATGCTACGTTATCGCTTGGATTACCAAAATGTACAATTTCAAACTACATAACTTTAAAATTGGGCTTTTAAAAACAATCTCTTAGAAACCGACCGGATAATATTTCATTTTTTTGAGTCAAGTGATAAAGTAGTACGATTATAGCGATATCACACTTTTTAATCTAAAATTTTAATTTGAATTTAGCTTTAAATTATTGGTAATAGTATTTGTGTTACTAATCGTTGATTTCTTTGTTCTTTTATTCTATTTTTTTAGTCATTACAGTGTTTTTATTACACTATATAATGTATGACTCATCTAAATATGTATGTTGTTGTATGTTGTTCATTGGTTGCTTGTAACTGTACTGATCTGATGGCTATCACAAGAACGGTTGTTATTGTTAACATGACGATGACGTTTGTAGATATCTCTAATGCATATCCACTCATGAAGAAGATATTTTGAAATTGGTTGATGATGATACGTTGCAGTGCTTAAAAAAGATAAATAAAAATATGTGGGCTTTATAAAAGTATGATAGTTGCACAATTGTATATGCATAATATATAAAACGAATCTATTTTAATGCTTGTTTAAACGACAGAAGTTATATTGAACTAATTATAACCTTTACTTTTTTTAGATAACTGTGGGTTGTATTCGTCAGCGTGCGCATGCCTTGACTAATTTTATAAGGTCATGAAATTAACAATCAGACAAACTCCCATGAGGAGTCTCAAATCAATGACCGATGTCCAATGAAAAGCAAAGAAAATAACAATTGAACTATAGGGTTGGGTTTCGGTGAGAAGCGTAAGAAAATATCCTCATCTTTTGATCAATTCTAATTGAATGTCAACACTAATTAGGTGCACCTAGATGCACCATATCAATTCACTTCTAAAGCGTAATTCATGGGTTGACATGAGATTAAAAGTGGTCAAGTGTTCGGATATCTTATTACGCTTTATACCATAACTTTCATTCTCACACGATCCTTCACTTTGAACTATAAAAACTTACTTTGTCTACCATAATATCACAAACTCCCGACCTTAAGCATTCTTAATATTTCATCTCAATAAAAAGTCGTTTATCAAACATTTACAAGGTGAGCACAAACAATGACCGATGGTCTTATCCAGCAAGAAGCATGACAACGACTGAGATTCTTATCCCACTAAGGGGCCGTTTACCAAACATTTACCTGGTAAGTGTTTACGGGTAAAATTTAACACTATTATTTACTTACCGGGTAAAAAATTTAGTCCACCAAAACAACATCGTATGCAACAATTTACCCGGTAAGAGCTTACCGTGGTAAGAGTCTGTCGCCCTTATTTATCGGGTAATACTCATGGTCTGTCTCGCTTTTATCAGATAAGATTCTTGGTTCTTATCATATTTATCCAGTGAGGTAATGTGACTTGGTAGGCGCTTACCAAATAAGCATTTGGTAAACGACCCCTAAGTGAGAAAGAAGACTTTTAACCAATTAGCATTAGTTGGGAAAGAGACGATTACAAACAATCAATTTCAATGGCTAGAAATGTCATATAATAAAATAAGTGAGCGTTGTGACTGTTGCAGGTATTATGTTTTAATTTTTTAATTGATTAAATAATAAAACTATATATAATATATATATATATATATTATTTTTGTTCCTAAAATCCATACATTTTTAATAATTTTTTATATATTTGTAAAGAATAAAATAAAGAAAAGTGATAGTTGTTGGTTAGTAGTGGATTAAGTGGGAGATAGAGTGGACTACTAACTGGTCTATTAATGCGACAATGAATACCAAACAGACTCTGAATACTTTTATTCTTTCATGACTTATCCACTTTCTTTTATGGATTTATCACCACATTAAATTAAGGGGTCATTTACCAAATATTTAGGGGCTGTTTACCAAATTTTCTATTAAGTTCTGTATGGATAAATTTGTCTGTCTGGATAAATTTATGTTGCTGTTTACTTTTCTATCTGAATCAATAGTCTGAATAACATAAATGACTAATTTACCCTTAAGAATAAAACAAAATGAACAGCTGATAATCTGTATGCTGCCATAGAGAATGAAATATGTTTGATTTTAACAGAGTGAAGAATGGAAGGGAAGAAATCATAACCATCAATATCTGTAACAATGTATCAATTACAAAAATTGAGCAAACAGAAATCGAATACAAGCATGAAATCGAACACAAGCAAGCAAACAGAAATCGAACACAAGCAAACAAACAGAAATCGAACCATCAAACAGAAATCGAGCAAACAGAAATCCAACAAGCATGAAATCGAACACAAGCAAGAAATCGAACACAAGCAAGAAAACAGAAATCGAGCAAACATGAAATCGAACAAACTCATGAAATCGATATGGAACTTGAAGTCGATTTGTCGATGGAGAAGAAGAGAGCGTCGACTGTCATGGAGAAGAAGAGAGCAATCGGGCCGATTAGGGTTCTTTGGAGGAGAAGAGGGCGTCGATTGAAGCAAGCAGATGGTACCCAAACAACAATCGATTTGAAGATACGCTAGGGTTCATGGCCGAGGAAGAAGATACCTAGGGTTCACGATCGTTGATAGGGAGGGAGTGTTTTGAGGAAGAAGATACGCTAGGGTTCATGGCCAAGGGTATGAGGGTTTTTTTTTGGGCTTAATGGGGACAAGTGTTGTTTTTGATTCGTGCGAATAAGCCCCTTTCTGTGCGAATAAGCCCAAAGTAAACACATCATTTTGGCTGTGCGAATAAGCCCATTTATTGATTAAGCTCATTAAGCCTCAAGTAAACACACACTTATACAGGTAAGTGTTTATCAAGTCACATTATCTTACCGGATGAATATGATAAGGATCAAAAATCTTACCCGGTAAGAGCGAGACAAGGAACATGAGTTTTACCCGGTAAGTGAGGGCGACGACTCTTATCACGGTAAGCGTTTACCAAGTAAATTTTTGCATACGATGTCATTTTGATAGACTAAAATCATAACCGCTAAGTAAAAAATGATAATGTTAAATTTTACCCGTAAACGCTTATCGGGTAAGTGTTCGGTAAAGGGCCTCTAAGTATATAACAACTCTTATTAAAAATAAAAATAAACTAAATTTATCGAACATAATATATTTCATTCAAGAATAAAATATGACGAAATATATGAAGATGTTCATGATTCGAGTTTCTAATAAGCTAGTGAGCTCGAACTCATCTATCAAAAGTTCAAGTTGATCTAAAACACAAAATAAAACTCATTAACAATTCGAGTTCCATATATAGCGGAATACAAACAAGGTATCTTGTAGGGAGAGGAACTGCGCGTGTGGACGACTTCTAAAATGTTCGACTTAACTCGTTCAAAAGTTTGATTAAAATTTTCGAGTCGAGACGAATCATTTGAGCATACATGTTTTCGAGCCAAACGTGTTCCAACTGTCATAAATCATACAAAATCAAAAAATAAAAATCATTGAGTTTGGACAAATAAACAAATTAATTGATCCTCATGTTGAGCCCATAAACATGTTATAAATTTGAATTTTAGGTCAATGTATAACTCAAATTGGGAAAAAAATTACTCGGGTCAAATCGAGCTCGAACAACCTTCTACTTGACTAAACTCAACTCGTTAAAACCCCTAGAAACACGATCATCATGACATGAGGGACCGAAATTGATATTATAAATTTGGAGACCGAAAAGTGACATAATAGAAACGAATCACCTGTATTTTCTTTTTTGAAATATATAATATTTATATACGGTAGATGAACTCACAGATCCTTACTTTTTGGTGAGGTTTGAATCCCTACTACTTTTATGAGATTGTGTTTTACTAGTAACTCTTAGACACCGTTAAGGCAAAGACTCTTTAACGGTCGGTTGTATGTTCTCAAACTACGATTATGATATAAAAAAACCCTAATTTGGTTTATTTTTTAATAAAGTAATTGTAAATAAAACACCATATAATTACCCAAACAATAGGATTTTTCATAACGTTTCATTAAAATATTGAAATACAAATGAAATAAATAAAACATGTAAGTGTCGAACTTTTGGTTGGGGGGTCATAACATTATAAGGAACAACCACCTTTTCAAATGAACGGCCTAAAAACTAAACTTTAATTTGCTTTTCTTTCAACTCCGAAAATAGGAGGCCATGCTCCTGAATATAAGTTGACGTGTTGTGATTACGTTCTGTTGGAAACCTAAAATATGATTAATAATAGATGATCATCTATAACACAACAATGACATATTCATCTGGAATATGAACATGTTATTCATCATGATTGTGTTATTCATGATGAACAACATCTCCATATTTATTATGAATATTTATTTGAAGAGGGATACATGACCCATTGTAAATGATTCCAGAGTCTCTAAACAATTTTGAGTTTCTAACAAAATCTCTGATATAACACGTATCGACATAATTTTTTATTTAAAAGAAGAAAAAAACACTATTTTGTAAAAACCATAACATGGAACTTTTTTCTTCATTTTTTTGTTTTACAAGTAACACAAAACCATTGTATTTTAAAAAATAATTGTAATTTATAAGCATTATAATTGTAAAAAAATCATATTGGCAACACTCAAAGGTTTTTAGTCCAACTATTGCAATTATGATGATTTTAACAAAAGTTAAAGTTGCAATTATGTGATCGAACCGATTTGTTGACGTTGAGTAATTAAAAATATGCAATAGCATGTTTATTTTTTTATATTTGGATAATCGATTAAAAGGGTATTTGGGATTGCTTATTTGAAACAACTTATGTTTTTTTTATAAAAGTATTTATCAATTTATTATAAGTTAGAATAGTTCAATTTTTTTAAAAACTATTTATTACTGGTTTGATACTGGTATAAGCTGTTTATCCAAACACTTAAAAGTACTTATTACCGATGTTATACTGAAATAAATTAATAAATTGTTTTTATAAGTAATTCTAAACACCTCTAAATTATACAATAAATAAATAAAATTAAAAGTAAATAGGATGTGACACGTACCAATTGATTACATAAAAACCCACGAAAATAGATAAAAACGATGTATCCATTTGCATATCTTTCATGGTCGTTATCCTTATTTGAGGATAAGAGGATTATGATCGTGGTGAGCGTTAATTCGGTCCTGTGTTAGCGATTCTCTATTTATCCAATCTCTAAAAAGAAAATGATTTTAACTTGATTTTTATTTTAGGTAATATACTTTTAAAACTTTTATTTTTGTACCTAAAATGTAAATGTTTAAACATTTAAATACTCGAGTAACCGGTTGAAGACTAATTTTAGATTAAAAAAATTAATGTCACTAACCACGTCAACAAATAATACTGAGTTGGATACCACATCACTCGCTACATCACCATGATAACCGGTAAATGCTTCAATCGGTTACCTGGACACTTAAATATTTAAAACTTTACATCTTAGATACCAAAATAAAAGTTTTGAAAATATGTTACCTAAAATAAAAATAAAGTTAAAATATATTACTTTTTCATTCAATTTGTCCAAAAGAAAATGAAAAAATAACATGATATAATCAACATCATTGTAATATTATTGTGATTAAACTCATGGTCAATCAAGAACAATTATAACATCAAACGGTATCGTTTTCCTATAAGTCTTGCTTTCTTAGCTTCCCACGACGAAATATACCTCCCATCCTATCCTAAACATGTATATCTGGATATTACAATAAACAAGAATGAGATAACCTGGTAACTATATGTTCACAAGTCATGTACATATTCACAGGGTTCCGTTTATATGCACCTGATATAATTGTGTTCGGTTTGAAGGATATCTGAGGTACTTGTTTTAGAAGGCTCGACGTTATAAAGATCAACAGCTATATATTCGTTCAATACGTTTTCGAAGTGAAATTACGCTATAATACGTGTAAAGGATTTAGTCCCTTTGTAGTCCCTTTCTCATCCTTCAAGTTCTTGTTCTTCTCCTTGTCTTTATGAATTTCATTCATTAACGATTTCACACCAACTATCATTTTCGACATCGTTGATTCCGACTGTTTCCATTGATCCGAGGGTGCGTCCACAACCTCAATCTGCCACAAGATCTTTTTGTTGACGGGATTAGGTCCGTCTTTTCGAAGAAGATCATGTGTGATCAAGTTCCCTAACGGCGGTGGACCGCTGTTTGCTTGCAAGTAGGTTCCGTGAAGCGTCTTTAATGACAACGTTAACGGGTCACGGGAGTCGGATTGATTCACCGGTAACCATAAATGGGAAGTGTTCCTTTTTTCCGGTAGGGTTTGGATGACTCTAAGATTTTTAGCAACAATTCCGGGAATAGAAGGCATGTTTGATGCCGTAAGGTATTTTCCGTAACAACTCTTCAAGTACAACGATTCATGATCGTTCACCTCGACCGTCCATTGTGCATTTTTTGTCAAACCATCTCGACATTTTGTAACGGATTCTTTGTCTTGCTCGGCAATTAGGTACTTATCTTTACCATTTTTAAGACGGATAATCAGATCATTTTGAAATACGTCCATATAAATTGTGACTGAAAATAAGCACAAGATTGATTCAGATTTATTTCGAACCTATTGATCAAAATGGGTTGGAAATAAATCTGACACCGCAAATACAAGATCTGGGTGAAGACAAGGAAGAAGGTGAGATATTGAAACGGTAAAGAGCCAAGGTTCACAACGATGATGATGCCAAATTGGCGTGGTTCCAAAATGTTAATCATTTTATAAGGTTTTGGATCCGACCCGATTCGTTTTCAAGTAACAGAAATCGAACATCTATCATCCGATCTATTCACGCATGATCTAAAAAGTAGGAAGAAAAATGTTTGTAGAAAATCCATTGATTTCGAAGTCAACTTACAGATGTTGGGATGATATCCTTCCTAATTTTTACGCAAATATTAATTTTTATAATCTTGGTAAATATACTTACCTCTTAATTGTTTCATTAAGATGTAATATCTGAATCGTTAAAAGGTAAATTTTGTTTAGTGAAAAAAAGTATGCCTCTTAATGGTTTTAAAACCCTCTAAATGATTTTGTATCACATGTCTCCCTTAACCTTTCAACGTCCTAATTTCGTTGTAATGATTACCAAATAATTATATTTCATTTTACACTATATCGTGAGAGCCTCTTAATTATTCTCACCACTTAATCATTCTGCATCAAACTATTCAGCAACTGCCAAACAATCCATCTGTGTATATTGGGGTCTATTAAAAATGAGAACTCAATAATTTATGATAACTGTTAGATTTAACCACTTATTTAAAATAATTATATTATTTATAGAATGAGTTCAAACAAATAAACTAGCATTTTATGAAAACACGACAACATTTTTTTATTAAAGTTGATCACAAATGCAAAAAAGTTAATGCATTCCGTTACAATTTACCAGTCAATTGGAATTCAACTCCAGATCAATATGAAGCAAATTTTCTATCTTTTGAGTTAGAAGAAATATCTCCATACGTTTTATCCATGTCTTTATATTCGAACGAGATATTTCGTGTAAGTTTGGTTAAGCAACCAAATACAAGTTTTGGGAAAGCTATTTAAGAGCATCTCTCATCATATTTTCGATATTTAAATTAATGTAGAGAGTAATTTGCTAAAAAAAATAGTATAGGCAGTGTTTTTTTATGTAGTAACTTCAACGATCTTCCTTACATTGTTAGGTACATATTATTTAATAATTTATTGTGTCCTTTAACGAATGTTATTTACATTTTATAGTTATAAATAAAACAAACAATAAAAAAAATAATCTAGTTATTATCGTAAAAATTTCACCGGATGTAGGAAGTAAAATAGCGTGAATCAGGGTAGAGAGCCAACATGGTGTACCCAAGATTTTTGCTGAATAGGTGCATCTTTAAGGTGGATCTAAGGCCCGTAAAGCCGTATGATGTTTCTTTAATCTAATTCCACAATCTCAAGGTTTTTTTTAGGTTTTTGGTGATTTCGATGGATCTTTTTGGTTTAAGTTTTTTTTTGGCTTTTGGTTGATGTTCCTCACATTTTTTAATATCGTGGTGCACCACTCAAAGTTTATGGAGGCACCTTTCATACCAAAAAGATTGTAATTATGAAAATCAATTGAACGGGTATGGAGGACCCTACTTAGACTCTCATAGGTTCGTCTCTAGTGTAGAGAGTGCATGAGAGTCGTCTTTTTCGGGTTTTGGTTTTGGCTCCCTATAATTAGTTAAAAGAAACGAACCAGAGATGTCCTAAAAAAACAGTTGTATTATGAATTTATGATTTATGTTTTCTTCTCAAATTTGAGAAGAAAAGAATTTGTTTTATTTGTGTTTCTAAGAGGGAAGAGAAATGAAAGGAAAAAAAATTCATGTTCTTGAATGAGAGAGAAAAAAATTAAAGATGTTTTTACAAATATACCCTTATTTATTTTTCACTAGGTTGTAGTTGATAGATAGATAGATAATTTTATAAATATTTATAATAATAATCATTTAGTTTTTTTACTTTTTTTGATTAACGTGGATATTCAACCCGCTATGCGAGCTGAATAATCTCAGGACGACCACCTGCTTTATATATTGCTCGAAGTCACCACATTTGAACTTCCGTGGTCATAAAGAGATTTTTATTTCTCCTTGGATTTGAAACTGAGACCTCTAGGTACTTTTGCCCTTTGAAGCCAAGCTCAAACCAATCGGTCACGACCCTTGTAGTTCAGTTTCTTTACTTTTCTTCTCTTTCTTTCCATGTTTGGGATAAAAAATTTGGAAGGAAAATCAGCATTATTTTTTTATTTTTTTCCTTTTCCTCCTTAAAAATATGGAGAACCTGAATATTTTTTTTTCAATTTCTTTCTTTTTTATTTCCATTTCCCTCCTTTTCCTTGGTAAAAAGAGTTCAAGTACATAGCGTTATGGATGTGTAACAACACAATCAATTTTTGGGGGGAAATGGACATAAGTAAAACTCAAAGGGTGCAATCCAACCAACACAAATTCTAGAGGGTCAAAAACAAAAAAACTACCGCGATTAGAGAACTCCGTGTGTCTTTGTGTGCCGCTCCGGAGGCGAGAAGTGACATGGATTCGTGCTCATTGACTACGAGCTCTATACCTTACATCACATTCAACTTACAGAACTTATGGCCGTCGAAGAGTCACCGGAAAAAACTCCGGCACCGTCCACTATTCGTCGTAATCTCTTGTTCCTCAACCAAAGATATATGGCGGAAGACACCAAAGTCCAGAATTCTAAGGCCGTCGTCATCTTTTCCCCAACCTTATCGTCGAAACCCCGAAGTAGGTCACTTAGACCACAGTGTCGACATGGATGAACTCGTATCATCGATTAATCAAACAACAAGTGAGCACGAACTGTTTGCTTTGTTGTCCCCTTACAAAAGCCGGCAACTTTCCATACGGTTCATGGTGACCGTCCTTTCCCGTGAAACCGATTGGCAACGATCACTTGCGCTGCTCGATTGGATAAATGAACAAGCTTTGTACACCCCTTCGGTGTACGCGTACAACGTGGTTTTGCGTAATGTGCTTCGAGCAAAGCAATGGGAGATTGCCTATGGACTGTTCGACGAAATGCGCCAAAGAGCTCTTTCACCTGATAGGTATACTTATTCTACTTTAATTACGCATTTTGGGAAAGAGGGTAAGTTTGATGACGCATTGTCTTGGCTTCAGAAGATGGAACATGATCATGTATCTGGTGATCTGGTACTGTATAGCAATCTAATTGAATTATCTCGTAAGCTATGTGATTATTCCAAGGCTATATCAATATTCTCTAGATTGAAGCAATCCGGCATTTGCCCTGATCTCGTTGCCTATAATTCGATGATTAACGTTTTCGGGAAAGCCAAGTTATTTCGTGAAGCACAGGTGCTCATTCAAGAGATGAGATCAGTTGGGGTTAAGCCTGATACAGTTAGCTATTCGACACTATTAAGCACGTATGCCGAAAATCAAAAGTATCTAGAGTCTTTATCAGTGTTTTCTGAGATGAAAGAAGTGAATTGTTTGCCTGACCTTACAACTTGCAATATCATGATAGATGTATATGGTCAACTTGATATGGCCAAAGAAGCCGATCGGTTGTTTTGGAGCATGAGAAAGATGGGGATCGAACCCAATGTGGTCAGTTACAATACCCTCTTGAGAGTGTACGGTGAAGCCGAGCTTTTTGGAGAAGCCATACATTTGTTTAGATTGATGCAGAGAAAAGACATCGATCAAAATGTTGTTACTTATAACACCATGATCAAGATTTACGGCAAGACTCTTGAACACGAGAAAGCTAATAATCTTATTCAAGAAATGCAAAACAGAGGGATAGAACCGAATGCCATAACGTACTCCACGATTATATCTATATGGGATAAGGCTGGGAAGTTAGATCGAGCTGCAACTCTGTTCCAAAAGTTGCGAAGCTCTGGTATTGAGATCGATCAGGTTCTTTATCAGACCATGATTGTGGCTTACGAGCGAGCTGGTTTAGTGGGTCATGCAAAACGATTACTTCAAGAACTTAAACGCCCAGATAACATCCCACGAGCAACAGCAATTATGATTCTTGCTGGAGCTGGGCGTGTAGAAGAGGCCACATGGGTTTTTCGTCAGGCTTATAACGCAGGCCAGGTTAAGGACATATCAGTATACGGATGTATGATTGATCTCTTTTCAAGACACCGAAAGCATGCCAGTGTGATTGAGGTGTTCGATAAGATGAGACAAGCCGGGTATTTTCCGGATTCTAATGCGATCGGTCTTGTCCTAAATGCATACGGGAAGTTGCGGGATTTCGAGAAGGCCGACAGTATATACGTGGAGATGCAGGATGAAGGGTGTGTTTTTCCAGATGAAGTTCACTTTCAAATGGTGAGTATTTATGGTGCAAAAGGGGATTTTGAGAGGATGGAGTCATTATTCGAGAGATTAGATGGTGATCCGAATATCAACAAGAAGGAATTGCATCTTGTTGTTGCTAGTATTTACGAAAGGGCGAATAGATTAAAAGATGCGTCTCGAATTGTGGATAGATTGAAAGATATTGGACTTTTGAGATCGTAATTTATGATGAGAGGTACCAAATACCATGACCTTTTGATTTTAATGTTTGTAAATTTCTTTTATGCTGAATTTTAATTAAATATTATTAACTAAATTATGTATAAATTATTAGATTATTCATGGGTTGTTGCTTGATTATATTTCATGTGGTTTCCCCTGAGAGTGAGAGCATCCCAATGCCCCGGTAAATCATCAAATTTGCAGGTGATTCGCCTCCAATCGAGATAAGTGGGTGATGGTTAATATAATGGAATTGGAATCCATCAAATAAATTTGACTTTGAAGGAATTGAAATTGAATTTGATCACGCGTTTGGTTAGTAAGAATTTGAATGAAATCTCCCAATAGTAGCATGGTGGTGGTGGGTGGTAATGCAATTCAATTACTTCCATTATGCCAAATAACGATGAATTCATTAATTTATGGAATTTGAAGGATTTCATCCATTTCAAAATTTAAATCAACCACAAGAATTTGCCATTCCAATTCCATCAAATCCTTTTGAATTCCGTGAGTTTGACACCTAAAACATCAAATATTTTGCCGTTTTAACGGCAATGATGCTGTGTGAGTTTTCAGACGGCAAAAGTCTTGGGCTCACCATTTTCTTTAGAAAATTATTCTTAAACCCTAAATTTGGCATTTTTTAGAATGTGATTGAAATTGAGTTTTTTTTCCTTCTTGTGTTAATGGTCTACCATATTTGGTGTTTTTTTTACACAAGGTCGGAGATGCTCTAAGATAAAAGAAAAGTAGAAATAAATTTAAAATTTTGGGTTTTTTTCGACACATATTAACCAAAAAGTTATATATTAAGGGTGCGTTTGATACATTGAACATGATATAGCAGAACATAGATTACACAAGGATCTCATCACTGGATAAAGTGTAGTTGGGGATAGTAATGACCGGTAGATTTTCAATCATCGTCAATTATGGTCAATTCGTCGGTGAACCGTAGGGGTTACTACGTAAATGTGTTCATTAGCGCGTTATGCTTTCTCGGTTGCTAGACACAACTAAGGATAGGTGCGTTGGTGTAGCAATCAAGTTTGTTGACATTTCAATTCATAGAGATAGATCTCGGACCTATGAATAGGAATATTCCCGAAACCAACAACATTTTGAGGACTTACAAAAATATTTCGAAGGTACCCTAGATACTAGAAAAGGAATTTTGCAAAAATAGAACAAATTCTGATTAAAAGGTGTCAAAATAGACGGGTTTTATCGAATGTCGATTGACCGGTAAACATTTTCCAGTTTTTTTTTTGAATTTTTTATAAAATAATTAAATATGATTATAAATGATATTATTACACAATCATATTTAATTACATAAATCAATTTAATAGGGTTGAGTTCCGATGAGAAAGAGAATTAAGGTGAGAAGTGTAAAAATCTTTTGCCTCATTTACCCGGTAATGATCTCGTTCATTGCTATGTCTCTTACAAGATAAGATTCTTGATCTTTATCATACTTGTCCGTATCGGTAAATGACACCTGATAAACGCTTACTTGGTAAGAGTTTTACCGGCCCTTAAGAAAGTCTCCACTCCCCTTTCTCAAAAACATTGGGTACAAGATTATAAAAGAGCTACATTACAGAAGTATAGATTTCTTTTGGAATATTAAAAAGATAACTCCATAACTCCATAGGGTTTGCTTAAGAAACACTTCAAGCATTCTCCACAAACAAGCTCATTAGGAGATGTCACAAGTGATAATGCCACTATTAGCTACAACACATTGTCTTTTTAGCCTTGTTTTTGGTTTTAAAGCGCACACTTAGGACCGTTTATCAAACGGCAGCCAGGCAACAGCTTACCGAATGTTTTTACTTTCTTGATGAGCATGACAAGGACCTAAAATCTTACCCGGTAAGAGGCATAGCACTACCGAGAATCTTACAAGGTGAGCAATGACAAGAGCCGGTAAGCGTTTATCAGATAAAAAATGCTTACCAACGATCTACTTTGATGGCCAAGAATCTTAGGTCATAAGATAAGTGAGTGTGACGCTCTTACAGGTAAGCACTTACCCGATAAACGTTTGATAAACTGCTCCTAAGACATCGATCAACAACACCAATAATTTCAGCAAAAAGGTGATTACCAGCAACCCCAACCAACCCTACACAGAAAGCGGTACTTTTTGGCTCACTCCACAGTTGAGGCTAGCAGACACAGTTGAGGCTAGCAGAGGGTCTAAGATCGAAGTGGACAAAGTCACCCACCCTCTACCAACGCCACTATTTAATTGATTGAAAAGCATTTGAATATTCATACTGAAAATACCATCTTATTTGATACAATTCTGATTCCAAATTCTGAAAATAGCTTTTAACTTTTTCCAGCACAATCAAACTTTCAGATAAATTAAGCAGCAAATTTAGGAACTTCCCTGTGCTTGAGGATCTTCTGCTCCAGTTCATCCTTCTTCGCACCAACAACCCTTTCCACCTCTTTTCCTTGTTTTAGCACTACAATTGTTGGCATTGCCTGCACCCCGAATTCTTGTGCCACATCCTACAAATCATCCATTTATCTTGATCGTCAAAACTACACTTTTTTTCATGATTTCAATAATATCACGTTTGGGAACTCCAATTACGGAGTCATGGAGTTGGAATTGGACCAAAATCAGTTCGGACTTAGAACCATCATATTCCAATTCCACAAGTCCGATTCATACCGATCAATCGAGGGTTTTAACAACCCTGAAATCAATAGGCTTAAGCCTATACCTAATTTTGTTAGATTAGGTCGTTTAGATGGAGTAGTCAATCGAATGGTTGGGTTGACCTAATCAATACGCCAAACGTATGATAAAATACCTTTAACTCATCGACATCGATCTTGATGAAGTCGATTTCTTGATATTTAGAAGCGAGAGAGCGGATAAAGGGCTCTAACATCTTGCAAGGTCCACACCATGTTGCCGAGAAATCTACCACCATCAGCTTAGGGGATTGTTTTGACTGATTGTAATGGAGCTGCCAGCGGTTAGAAGAATGGAATTCGATCACTCGCGATTCCTCCGATGATGAATCGCCTTCGGGAGTATTGTCTCCCCCTCCCAACAACGCAGACGCCACGGATCCCATGATCTTTTCTTACACTCACCGTCAACTCGACTGAAAGCGTGGAGACGTTTTGCGGGAGGTGCTTGGCCTAAAAATATCAAGAGTAAATTACATAAATAGTCCTTGGTGCGTTTGGTACGCAGACTACATGAAACAGGACGGGACAAAAAAATAGTCTCATGTTTGGTATGTCATGGAAAAAAAAAACATGGGACAAGGTGTGACTATTTTTAATTTTAGTGGGACAAATCTTTATTTTTTTTGTTCCACCAAAAATTAAAATGACAATATTTTAATTGATTTGTTGTCATTTTATAATTATTATATGATATAAAATAACATTAAACAACATTTATGGGTAATATGGTCATTTTAATAGTTTTGTCTCATCCTGTCCTAGTCATACCAAACATAGGACAGACGATTAGTCATGTCCCGTCCCGTCCTGTCCTGTACCGTCCCGTCCCGTCCCGTCCCGTCCCGTCCTGTCCTGTCCCATCCAGTCTGCGTACCAAACACTGTTTATAGTTTACAAAACCCTTGTTTTTTGCTTGGTAATTGGATTGAAAACATACATGGTCCTTATATGTAATAATGTTTTAAAACAGGTTAAAAATATTTTTTTTAATAATTAGTTAATAGAAATAAGTTTACAATTTGTTTTTATGAATTATTTTTGAAGACTGTAATTCGATTAAATTTTATATCTTACAAATCAAACGTCTCTTTAGAGTTTCAAAACCATACTTGACATCGGGGATGTTTGACAGTTGTTTAATGATTTGATATAAAATGGTTAAGTGATTAGAATGTTTAAGAAACTCTATATTATATAATACACAATAAAATATGAATGTTTAATAATTATTTTTAAGAGAAAGCCTGAATAAACAAATTCACATTCTAACTGAATGAAATATAGTTGTATACCATAACTATTCCTGAAGGGCAAAAGGCCAAATATATAGTCATTAAAGCAAAATATCAAACACCTAGGTGATCAAAAATCCGACGCTACCCATCACCATCTAACACAAACACAATCACCTTCATACCCGTTACCTAACTTGCAAATCTTTTCTGCCAAACATCTGTCGGAACCCTCACAACCAACAACCCAAATTCCTTATTGTTCTTTAATTCTCCCTTCATCTCCTTTAAATCCACTGGTCTCCTCGCCTTCACGTCTACAGCCCACCACCAGTGACGTCGTCTTCGTACCACTCACTGACAACGGTGACAACTCCGACTACACAACGAGACTTGGTCCCATAATGGTAGAAGAAGCAGATAGGTTAAATGGGGAAGAATTGAGACTAGGTGCGGGAGGAGAAAGCCTGTGAGGACTGAGGAGGGATACGATACTTAAAAGTGCATATGGGAAAGAATTGAGACTCTGAGGTTGCGTTTGGTTTGCAGGAATGGAATTGGAGGGATTTGGATATAAAATCCATTTCAATCCTGTGTTTGGTTTACAGGATTGTTAGGATTTATAATCCAGGGATTCGTTTAAAATCCCGTGACCAATGGATTTAAGAATCCTTTGGAAAGAATCCATTCCCGTGGGATTTTGTTTGCCCTAACTTACCGTCTCCATCTTCTCCTCCATATTTCATCGCTTACCGTCTCCATCGCCGTCTCCGTCGCTTTCTCCCACGGTGCGTCTCTTTTCTTCAACCTTCTCCTCCATCGTCGTCTCCATCTCTATGCTGTTTTGTGGTTCATGGTTTTGCTATTTTTTTTTGCAAAATACATGTAGAAACCTGTATCCAACTATATTACAGGTTTAATTTGTATGCTTATAGATGTAGAAACCTGTATCAAACTACATCTCTTTCAGTTCTGTTTTGGGGGTTTTAGACCTTAAATTTGATGTTTTTTCTTGATTTAGATCTTGATATTGATTGAAAGACCTGTTTGATGTAGTCCATTTCAGCTTGACTGCTTCACTGTTTCATACCTAATCTTCATTGTTTCACTTCACTGTTTCATACCTGTTTGATTTAGTCATGATTTCTTGTAAATGGCCAATTCATTGGAATTATTCTTGATGAATTTGTTGTAAATAACTTTCAATCAGTTCTGTTGTTCATTGACTTTAGGGGATTTCTGTCGAGATGGATGAAAATACTGGTGCCTTTGGTGCATCTGGAAAAGAACAGAATTCTTTTTGCGAGGATCTTTCTATTGTATTTGGAAAAGATCGTGCTCAAGGAAATAGAACAAGAGATTTTGTTGAGGCGGAAGAGGAGGTGCGTGGTAAGAAGAGAAAATGTCGAGTAGATCCCATGGCTGACGGATTTAGTAATGCGTTTACTAAACTTGGAGCAACTTTGGAGAAAATGGCGAACAAACTTAACAGGGGTATCGAACGAGAAGAAGAACTTGATAAGAAACGTTCGATGATCACTTCTGAGATATCAAAAATGCAGACATTGGCCCAACCGAAGAAGTTTAAAGTAATTTCATTGATAAGAGGCGATCCTGAAAAGGTGAACATGTTTTGGGACTTGCAAGAAGCAGATAGGGAAGCTTACGTGAATTGGGTTTTGAATAAATGAAAATTTTGGTGGGTAAATGTGTGGTTTTGGAAGAACAATTTGGTAGTTAGATATGTATTTTGGATTAACAAGTTTGGTGGTTAAATATGCATTTTTGGATTAACATGTTTGTTGATTAAATATGCATTTTGGATGAACAAGTTTGATTGTTAAATATGTATTTTAGATTAATAGGTTTGTTGGTTAAATAGGTAGTTTTGAGAAAATGAAAGAGATTTGGTGACTAAAATAATTACAAAAAAAAAAAAAATCCCAATCCAAATCCTACAAACCAAACACATGAATGTATTTTAAATCTAATCCAATCCAAATCCCTCTAAATCCAAATACTTCGAACTCGTGATCAAATTGAAGAAAAAATCAGCATAGATTCAAACTCGTACTCCGTCATGGCCTCGAATCTAACTCTCAACCTAATGGCGAGTATCCCTCCATGGCTCCATCACTTCCTTTTTATCTACATATGCCTTCTCATTCTAATGAAATGATGCCGATATTTTCGCCAATTCAGCAGAACGAGGCCAAGAAGACACATAACAACTATTTAGATGTGCAGCTTTCGTTCATTATCGCTTGCCTTCTGGTTATTACTATTCTGTGTGTAGATGTGCAGAAGCTGACATAGAAGTAGACCAATAGTGATGGCAAGAGGTAGTGGATCTTGAAGATGAAGAGATTAGAGATGGGCGGTACACAGTTTAATTTAAGGTTTTATGTTTACTTTTAAAAATATGCAAATACTTGTATATAACAATGACTTGACATAACTAGCACATACGGGACATTTAATGTGGGTTGTCTAAATGGATGCTTGTGTTATAAATGAAATTCGTAATAAAATAGAAACCAGTGTAATTCCAAAACTCCATAAATAAAAACCAGAGTTTTGGTGAACCACATGGACCATTTTCTCGAATATCAATTACAAATCAAATATTTGATTTTCTTCGTAATTTTGGGATTTTTTAAACAAATATTTATATATAATAACATGGTTCTAAATAACTCGTTCACCGCCATGTCAATCTTTGTAGCTTCACTCTAAGACTTGACTTCCATTGTAGCGCGTTATGACACGTTATGACGCGTTACGACATGCTATGACATGTTACAAAACGTTATTTTGTAACGTGTGGTTTTTTAAATATATAACTTGAGAGTAAAATGATGATTATGTACAAGACCTAAAATGTTAAACAAGCATAAAAAAGAAAAGCGTAACAACTATATGCCTAAATAGGTAAATACTTACTCTCATTCTCATGCACAAAAAGTCGAACATGAATTTTCTTGAAAATTGAAAAAAGTAGTGAGTTGATATTAAAGAGATTTAATCCCGATTTTACACCATCAATATAATTTTTTTATACATTCTATATGTTTTTTTTATTAACCTGGATATCCAACCCGCTATGCGAGCCGACTAATCCCAGGGCGACCACCTGCTTTGCAGATAGCCCGGAGTCACTGCATTTGAACCTCCGTGGCCACAATGAGATTTTTATTCCTTCTTATATTTTGAACCTAGGACCTCCTGGTACTTTTGACCTTTGAAGTCAAGCTCAAACTAATCAAACACCACCCTTGTTGTTTACATTCTATATGTTTGGTATCAATGATTTTTTTTTTTAGTTTTATTATTTTATATGAATTTAATTTGTTCTACATTGTTATTCAAAACATTAACACACACAAGTGTGTGTATATATATATATATATATATTACCATCTTAGAATACGTCTTGAAAAACATGTTGATCTCGTCGTAACTCGTAAGGCTTGAGACTTGACTTCACCGTCACACCATAATAATAAGAAAATTTGAGTTTATTGATCATTTTTGCGATTTAAAAAATATCAGATTTGTTTTAAACAAACCAATTTATCTATTTATCGAATTTTTACATTTTAACAAATTAAAATCACAAGCAACTTTAATTATATTTTAATAGTAATAAAAATAAATCTGATGGTATATATAAACAGACCCTCCAATTCCATGATCAAACCACTTTCCTCCCCCCCCCCAAATTGGATTCAATTCGTTAGAAGCTGCATGAAAGCTCAGAAATCCATATGCTCTCTCCACCAAAACCAGGATGAATTCCTCCTTGCCTTACTGAATTTTGATCTATGAAAACAGATGATTTGATCGAATTCTTTTATAAAACCACCCCTTTTTCCCATTTACCTTCTGTAGTAATCCTTTTACAGGGTTTTTGAGATTTGTCTTAATGGATTTTCGGGATTTGTTTATCCTTATCTTCTTCTGTTTCTCTATTCTTTCACCAGATTTCTTCCTCCAATCATCAGGATTTAGAGAAATGTATATACGTGCATCTCTTTTTAATCGAATCCAATTTTCTGTTCGTAGAATAATGGAGGATTCATTTCTAGTTTTCCAATGTTATTGTTTTTCAGGCCAGCATCAGTGATCAGATTGCCGAATGGTGATTCGTATGGTCATCCTTTTGATCCAACTCGGGTCACCCAAATTTCATGGCACCCAAGGTTTTCTACATAATTTGCGTCAATATGAACATATGCTTTTAACGTTTCTAATTTCCTTTTAATGTCTGGGCCATACAGGGCATTCTTATATAGGAACTTTTTAACAGATAAAGAATGCGATCATCTCATTAAAGTGGTTGGTCTTGGTCATCATTTCCCATATCATTATCGAATTTCTTTCTTAAACTTGATTGTGTTTCTGATATTTTTAATAAACCCTTTAAAAAAAGAATTGAATGCTTTCTTTTTGTAGCTAATTTGCTAACGATTTCTGGTGATTAGGCGAAGGATAAGCTCGAGAAATCTATGGTTGCGGATGTTAAATCGGGTAAGAGTGTAGAAAGTAAGGTTCGTACGAGCTCAGGCATGTTTCTCAAGAAAGCTCAGGTCAGCAACAGCTTCACTACCAACTTTAGTTTTCACATGTCACCTAGTTGTAACAAGAGTTTCAATGATGATTATGTTGCTCATATCAGAATAATAAGTGGCATTTGTTTGCACTTTATATTCATATGTGAATGTTTACTATTTTATATAAAGCATTCTACCATTAGGCTGTAATTTAGTTGGTTCTTCGTTGTTTTGTTCTAGAGGGGGGGGGGTGTCTATGCATACATGGTACCTACGTCATAAGCTTCAAAATTTAGGCTTTTTCTTGAACTTTAACAATTGCATATCCTTTTCTATATCAATCCAACAACTGAAATTTGGTTGGAACCCTCTTCTGTTTGAATCAACACTAGTCCTGGATGAAGGTATTCAATAATTGTCAGTTTGGATTCATCAATATTCTTTTTTTCTTTTCTGTATTTTGTTTTATTATCATAGAGATAGAGGGGTTGTTCCTAATCATTGGGTCATCTTGAATATAGAATTTGTGGATTTTTGCTAGTTGAAGGGAATTAAAAGGATTTGAGTTTTCATATGCTAACGAATAACAAAAAAAAATATTGCATACATCTTTTTTATTATGATTTCCCAGTTATAATCTTCTGATCTTTTACTACCTGAACCAGAAATTCCACCTGTTCCGTAACCATTCATCTTATGGTTCAGGGGAGAACTCCCCAAAAAATGAAAAACTGAGGAACACCCTCGTAACCATATGCACATGTGCATACAAGCAATTCAAAACGTTTCTTGGTTTTAATGCAAGTATGCATGTTATGCACATATGCATGCCAGACAAATTACTTGTAAGCACATGTGCTTAGTGTACATATGAGTTGTTACTTGGGTGTTCCTCAGTTTCTCATTTTTTGTGGTTTCCAATGAACCTGACCCTATGAAATAATGGTTTGTTTGACCCATACTCAGTTATGTTCAAATCAACAGAGCACACACCCTATTGCAAGATTTATATTAGCACTCAAAATTTGTTTTAGAAACATGAGCCTGATTCTGCTTGTTTCATCTTTGAACGGAAGAGAGAGGCAGGCATAAAGTTTCACTTGTCAATTCTATATTTCTACTCAACAAACTACAGTAATTTAAAATTGTACTAACTGTTGCATACATGTACATTTGCACACCTATGCTATGATCTAAAACTAAACCTGTTTCGATAGAGTAATAAATGTAAACATTCTATTTTGAGTTTCTTAACCATAAAATATATGACGTTAGGAATCAAAAGTAACATGGTATTCTTAATTGTTTTATGAAGGATGACGTAGTTGCTGGTATTGAATCAAGAATTTCTGTTTGGACATTCCTTCCTGTAGAAAACGGGGAGGCTATGCAAATATTGCATTACGAGAATGGTCAAAAATACGAGCCACACTGGGATTACTTTCATGATAAAATCAATCAGGCAGTGGGTGGTCACAGGATAGCCACTGTACTTATGTATTTGTCTAATGTTGAGAAAGGTGGGGAGACCGTATTCCCCCATTCAGAGGTACGTTTTATTTGGTTGATATTGACTACGCTTACCATTGTTGTTTGCTTTCATCTTCCCGTTTTGATCTGTTTCTGATGGTCTCCAGATAAAAGAATCTCAACCGAAAGCTGAGGAGGACTGGTCTGAATGTGCAAAAAAGGGCTATGCTGGTATGTTAATTCACAGAGATGGAAATTATGTGCTCTCTTGCATTATGCAAATATGTGGATAACTGTGTTACGCCAACTTGCGTTTACCTTGACTAATCCTAATGGGTCCTGAAGATAATAGCCCGACAAACCTCCAATGGCCCTGAGGGTAATTGAACCAACGACTACTGGGGAGCAAACCCAAGGTCTCACCAGTTAAGTTATCTCAAAGGGTATGCAAATAAGTTGTTTTTGCACCAAAACCTTCTCGTCATTAAGTGGGTAAGAGGATTTTGGGATGTGATAGTGTATGACATCCCGTCTTACATCACATATAAATTATAGTTGGGATCCCCTAATAAGTCATAGATTGTAGGTTGCTAATAACTTCTGTTATTGTTTTAAGTTGATTTGGAAGTCATTAGGTCAGTCTGCTACTTTGGGTTTGAGTGGTATTAGAATGGTGGCCCCCTAGAGGTGTCATGGGTTGGACTTATGTATCTTCTATGAATATTGACTATGAGTTTGTTTGGGTTTTTTTGTACCGATGAAGTTGGGAAGATTGTGACATCCCATCTCATATCCCTTATGAATTATAATTGTGAGCCTCTTATTAGTCAGTAAGTCACTGGTGTCAACTACTATAACTTCCACCATAGTTTTATCTTGATTTACCTTGAGTCATTTCTTGGTAATTAAGTTGAAAACGCATGTTTGTTGAGTTTGCAGTGAAACCCAAGAAGGGTGACGCGCTGTTGTTCTTTAGCCTTCATCCTAACGCCACAATTGACCCTTTGAGCTTGCATGGGAGCTGCCCCGTGATTGAGGGGGAGAAATGGTCCGCAACCAAATGGATCCACGTCAGGAGTTTCAGTCATAGGCGAAGTAGAAAGCAAGGGTGCTGGGACGAAAATGCCAATTGTGCTGCATGGGCTGTTCGTGGCGAATGTGATAAGAACCCTCTCTATATGGTGGGTTCTGCTGATGCTCCTGGAAACTGTAGGAAGAGTTGTAAAGTATGTTAGTTTTGCTGCTGCTTATGTGTTTTTGTTTGTGTAATTATTGTATATAACAAACACCCAGTTTGTGATCATGGCCCCCTCATAGAATGGATATAAAAAGTGGGTTAGAAACACTACGTACTCTGTAATCTGAGTTTGGAGGATACATACAGGTTTTGATTCTTTTTCTATAAAGACCATGGTTGATTGGTTGTCTCTGTTTCAGCTATGGGGTTTCATTTTGCAAAAGCCAAGTGACATTTTTTTTATCAACCTAGATATCCAACCCGCTATATGAGCCGACTAATCCCAGGACGACCACCTGCTTTGCAGATAGCCCGAAATCACCGCATTTGAATCTTCATAGCCACAAAGGGATTTTTATTTCTCCTTGGATTTGAACCTGGGACCTCCAGGTACTTTTGACCTTTAGAGCCAAACTCAAACCAATTAGACACCACCCTTGTGGTTGCCAAGTGACATTTTTGTCATAGCTTCTTGCTTTGATATCTCATCTACACATAAATGTGTTGAAATTCTGAGTCCCTTGTAAATGTGTTGGAAGAAATTTTGATTATGCTTTTGGTTAATTTAGATAACCAATCAGATTATATGTAGAACCTCTTCTTTCTCTACAACATTTTTCGTATACTTTAAAATGGAGAAAATGAAGATTTTTTTAAAAAATAAAGAAAGTACAAAAAAGAGTATGAAATTTCTAAATTTGGATATCTTCCAAAAAATTATTATTATAAAAGAGAAACAATTTTTTTTAATTATATTTCTACCAATAAGAAACCTTGATGTTAAATTTTACGAGAGAGAAATAATATTTTATTACATGTATAAAATATTTTAATAATATAATTAATGTTGTAATCCTTTAAAATAAATAATTTGTCAGAGTTAAATGTAATTTTTTGTTGAAAATTTTTAAGTTTTGATTCTTATTTTGAAAATTTTATGAAAATATGTTGGAGATGCTAAAAGAGGGTTCCATGCATCCTCACAACTCGAAATAAAAGCCGAACTAGGTCGAAATTGAATGGGGTCTTTGACATGGATAGTTCTACTATGGAAAGACCACTTTACACACTAAATTTTAATATCTTTTAGGTAATAAAATTGTAAAATTACTTAAATTCACTTTCTTTATTAAATAAAAATTAGCCATTTTGAAAATTCAGTTAATTATTATGGTCATTATATGTTATCATATATGAAGTTTTATATTACTTAATAGAAACAAGCGACCACTAGAAGAAAAGAAACTATTACCTATAATAATTAATCGCAAGGATTATGGAAGAGGGGTGGATTCCCCTCTTTTGCTTTTCAGCCTACGGGGTATTAGCAGCTGTTTCAGTTATTGTTCCCCTCTCAAGGGCAGGTTCGTTAGGTAAGATATAGAAAAATGCTTACTGGGAATCCATCGTGGGAATAAAGGAACTTTTCGAGGAATCCTTAATTCGTGGTTGTGCGCTTCCAAATATGTCTATAAGATGCTATGTAGAAAGTTGATTAATTAACAAACCATACATACAAGAGAACGTTGACAACTGAATAAATGGTAAAGATGGATATATGGGTACCTTTTAAGGGCTTGTTTGTTAGCAGTGTAATGAGTTTATTGGGACTCACAACTTATACAGTCAGACATACATGACTGTTTGGTAGTGACTTAATGATATATAAAATAACTTATCTAGTAACATCCTAGAGGGAACCTTATGCAGAAAACCAAGTTTTTTTTTTCCTTCAAGTCTGCTCATTCCAACTAAAAACACGCTCCTACCAACTATGAAAAATATCCTCCCAAACAAAATCTTCTCAGTTTATATAGACAGATTAATCTATACATTTATTTATCTATACAAGACTACTCAGTTTACATAGACAGATTAATCCTCCCAGAATCCCGGTTATTTATCCATATAGGACTAATGGAAACCACAAACTTATTTATCAAAACAAGTGATTTATTCACCTAATATAGAAGGTTTCAGATGAGCAAAATATTACAATTAATTGAATAAAAACCTCTTTATAGTTTGTAAGGACTCAAAATGCCCATATTTGAACTCAGGTAAGTTATTTGCCAATGGGTAATAGTAGAAGGGCCTAAATGAAAATTTCATATCAGTTAAAAACATAAACGACAACTTTTCGGTTAGACGATAGTCTTCGCATCGAGGAACCCCAATTTTCCCTCGCCTTTACCCCTTTTTACTTCTTTCCCCTTCTCTTTCCACCTCAACTTTGACAGTCTTTGAATGGAAGATCAAGCGCAAGTAATCTCTCAATCTCAAAATGTCAATCTCTGCTGTTCGAATGTACACATTATGCACAGTTTTACATATGCTATATATACATGTATATCTCTGTGTGTAATTTTTGAGTGTTATCAATAGAACTTGATTTTTGTTTAAATTTTGTTAGAAAATGGAGGCGTTGAAGAAGGCTTACGCGGAGATCATACTGAATACAGCGAAAGAGGCAGCTAATCGAGCAATGGTATCGGAGTGTAAAGCTCTTCGCTTTCATCACGATCTGCACAACACTAAAGACGAGGCGCTTCGGATGCTTCTTCGATTCAAACACATAATCGATGCCAAGGTATTGCTTTTTATACTTTAGTTTAGGTTTCTGAGCATCGAATTCAAGTTTCTTGTTTATGATTTATCCTTCCAATTTTGTCTTGGCTATGGATTGGATGATTTTTACTATATGATAACCTTACTATGTAAAATTAAATGTTTTTCTTCTGTGTTTCAAAGTAGTTAAGAGAAGTCAGAAAGACTCTGTGATTGTATCGGCTTAATATCAGGGTCAGGAGTTGCTGCATATAGACGCTTAACTCTGGCTTGTCCACTTCTGAGGTGGAATACAAGCATGGCGTAGGTTTATATTCGGACATTCGGTTATATATATATATATTTTTAGTTTTTACCACTGAGTGTGTCATGATTATGACTTTGCAGGCATATATCGGCACATTGACTTCTAGATATGACATGGGAGCCAAGAATGCTAATATGTGAATTTTGACTTCTCTTTTGTTTATCATAATGTTGAGTGATAAATTAAGAACTCGGCAATTGTTGTACCTAGATCATCACAATTCACAGTGGATCTCTTGTGCCTGTTTCAAAATTTGAAAGTACATGCCTACAACTTGCAAACAGTTGTTCCATATCAAAATTTATTTATTTATAAGTTGGTTGTGTATGTTTCTAAACAAGGCTTAACTACTACATCCATCTATGGGTTGCTTCCCTGTTTCAAAGTTTCCATTGTTATGTCACTTTTACTTCTAAGTTCTAATCCTTCAAGGCTGCAAGCTGGTATCTTAGTTCATCTCAAAGTTGTATTCATGAATCACAGCTCTCATTGTGGGATTGAGAGGCAGTTTTCTTTTTCATTTTAGTATTTTAAAAGCACCGAATTCAACTCTGATCTTGGTTGCACAAGCTCTCCATGCCTCTAAATTGGTTGCTATTGATACGTAACATTTAAACATGTCCAGCAAACTATATCCTTTTTACCTGCTTCCTATTGTATGTTCTGTTTATTTATCTCTTAGAATTTTGTTGCTTACTTCCAACTCACTTTTCAAAATTTAGCACTACTTTTTCTTGCTTTCAAATTCTATTTATAATGTTCTCTTATGTTTTTTCCGCATTCTTTGTTGCAAACTCTATCCTTTTTTCTGCACACTTTGCACAAGCCGGGGGTCTTCACAAGGAAAAAACCCGCTCTACTCTTCTGGTGAAGGTCAGGTCTGTGTATATCCCACCCCTCCCAGACCCCACCTCTGGGTGGGATTTACTGGACCTGTTTAGTTGGTTTGGTTTAATTAACCATGTGCAGAACGTTTATCTCAAAAACCCTTGCTCTATGAAATTGAGATGCCACAGCATTTCGACTTTTTCTTTCTACTTTAATTGAGCTACTTTCTTGAGTTAAGACTCATATCACGCTGCAACTTATCCTAGAAGTCCATCATAGAAATAAGCATACAACATACTATTATGAAAGATCACACAACTTTTTTTATCCTGTTGGACCAAACTTATATGATAGGTAGAAATATCGTACACTGGAAAATATCTTACATTGCATTAGGTAGCCCAAATCTATTGTTAATTCTTATCCACTGATGGTGTCATTTTGCTATCCCAACTGTTGAAGAGGACTAGATGAACAATCAACTGAAGATGCTGTAGGGTGTGTCAAATATACCACTATGGACTGGGGAAGAGGCAGGCTGTGCAAGATCCTTCCCCTAGTAAACTTTTTGTAAAATATTTTCTATAAGATGGCTAGCACTATCGCTACCACTATCATCATATAATTATAGGGAAGGCAAAGTGAGATTCTTGTCTAATAATGCACACTAGTTAGTCACCATATCACTGTATAACTCATAAATAATTATATTTATGATCTTATCTGCATAACTGCATGTTATGCCTACAATTATCCTTGTTTGTCTTCTATAACAATGAAAACTATATGAGCTTCTATTACTGACACAAAACTGTCTGAATTTTCCCCGATACAGACAACTGAAGCAGAAATGACAACGTTGGGCCAGCAAAAAAGAATTGAAGAGTTGGATGCTCAGCTTAACGAAACAGAAGGAGTGATAGTTGATCTTAGAGAGGAACTGAGAAAGGCACATGAAAGATTCGAGGAAGTGAAGAAGAGCCACATGCTACAGTCAAATGAACCATTTGGAAACGAACACATGCATGATATTGAAGATACAGCTCATGATAAGAAGATAGATGTTACTGAGCAGTTCAGATCCTCTTCCCAATGCGGTAGGTGTTCCAACTCAGCAAACAAGACTGCAACATCAGGTCCTCACTTAGATAACTTCTTCATTGGTAACCCTAATTTAGCTTCCGTAAACACAGGAAGCAAAGAGCCTGATTTCTGTAGAAATGGATATACTCATAGAATTCGAGCAATTGAGAGGAATCTGGTGGATGGACAAAATATTTCTGAAGATAGACCTGCCCAGGAACTTTGCACAAAAAAACAGTTAATCATAAATGTGGATGAAAAAAGTTCAGGAAAATGTGCTCCATCGTCTATTGATGCTGAGAGTAAAGACATGAATATAGATCCAAAGAACATTAATGGATCCGAAGCTTTGTTCATCAACAGTAGTGTTGCCAAAGATCAATCTGTTAAAGCTCAAAGACTTCCAAGAAACAGGGTTAGATATGCACAATCGAGCCCCAAACTTTCTCGGTTCGATTGCCGTGTTATCAAGCCCACCGCAGTGCCAGAGAATTTGAACCTCAAGGAGAACTCTCTTGGAAGGGATGAAAAACTTTTAGAAACCAATGAACAGAGTGCCTGTACCCTCCGTAGAAGCATTAGGAAAAGGAAAGTGAGATGTTTGGATGAAATTTCCTCATTGTTCAAGTCACGTACTGCTCTTTCCCGTTGCAAAAAGAACTCGGGCAGTGCCGGTCTGAAATTAGATGAACATCAATACAGATACAAATCTGTGGCTGAGATGAATCAGATGATTGCCCCCATATCACCATCTACAAATGCTTCTGAAGAAACCAAGGACGATGAATTACCTGGGCCTCTTCATATCTATCCTGTTGAGAACACCGGGTTGCTAAATGAGTTAGTGGTTGAAAAAAATGAAGTTGCTGCCAAAGAATCTGCTGAACACACTGGTGGATCTGCTTTTGATAATGATAAAAACAGGCTTCTGAAGTATACATTCAGCAGGAAACGCAAGAAGAATCTATCTTCTAAATCCGATAATTGCTCTAATACTGGAAAGAGCATTTTGAGCCGGAAAATGGGAGAGAGATCAAGTTTCTCCCCTGAACAGGAGAAAACCAGTCTGATAGAAGACCCATCTGCGGATAGCCAGAACATGGTTGAGGTTGCTTGCCAGGTTAGTTTCCTCTATACCAAAATTCTTTCATACTGTAACTGAACACATTCAGCCTTTTCGTCACATCTGTTCTGTTCTATGATCAGATAAAAATAATAATTGCAACAAGTGAAAGAAAAATGAAACCAATATTTACATGGTTCAACGTATTTTTTGTATCTACAGAAGATATGATAGGTTCCTTTGGTTAATAACCTTACATTAACTTTCAATTAGGAGCATGACCTGCTAAAATTTTCTTTTAACTAAATGACCTTCATTTGACGTACCCTGGTGTTAAACAGACCACCTCTGGTGTAAAACTGCCCCCAAGAAACTTCAAAATACAACATTTTGCAAAACTGCTTCCGGAGAAGGTCGTTGAGCTAAATAGCCAGATATGATTCTTACCAACAAAGAAGACGGTCGACACCATTTATATGAACAAAATTCAGAAGAATAAGACTGGACAAATTGTCTAAACCTAATTGTTAAATAGCATAGCTTGACAGGTTTAGGCCGTTGGCCTGAATCTTGTGCTCTGATTTACGTTCTAAATCTGGCTTCATATAGTAGTTTGCATCTTTATTTCTCCTTAAGAGGCTGTTTGTTTGGTTTTCCATAGGTCCTGTATGGATAAAGTTGTTTGTGTGGATTAATCTGTCTGTATAGTAGGGAAGATTTTTTGATTGGAAGGGTTTTTTTCATAGATGAAATGAGAGTGTTTTTTAATTGGGAAGGACCGATTTGGAAAAAACTTGACTTTTTGCATAAAACTCACCCTATAAACTTACTGAATAAGCCACTTCCTATATTGTTAAGTCAATACAAACAATCATGTATAGTTGGCCAAATAAGCTGCTAACATACATGCATCAAGTAAATAGTTTGTTAAATTCCCTTTCGGTGTTTGTACCTAATCGTGTGTAATCTCTCCATTTATGCAGCTAATTTCGTTGTCGGAGGAACGTAGTTGGTGAAGGAGTTGGGTGCTTCAAAATGTCATCTTCCAGCAATCGTAAGTGACTTTTATATGCCTAAAGATTAGTTCAGATATTGAAGGGGTGTGTGTGTGTGTGTCTCACCAATTGCAAGCTTATGATTTATGAAAATGGAAGTCTGGGTTTTAGTTATATATTTTTGTTTCATGAAGCATCCATGCATGCATTTTGCTTGATGGAGGTACATAATTCGTTACTCAAGTTTAATTATCCTTGTTAATTGGTAAATCAGTATGGCAATTTACTTCTGTCTAATCTAGTTGCCAACCCAGTTCTATTTTTTCAATTGAGGGTTGGAGTTGCACCTTTATAACATATCATTAATTTATGAAAATGTGAGAACACCCCTACATGTAAATCAGACGACTTGGTGAACTCGACCAAAGGTCACCCGCTATGTGTCGGTCAACAGAATATGTGTTTAATCATATATGATTATGTATGTGTATCATGTGTGTGTGTATGTATGTATATATATCATAGTGTATTTGTTGTGAATGTTCGGTTTTTTTTACCTTTACAGTGTTTTACTGTGAAGTTTCAAGTGTAAAAAAGTGGTCTCGCGGGTCTCATGAAAACAGGCTGGTCTCACGTGAACCCAACCCTATATATATATATATGTATGTATGTATGTATATATATATATATGTGTGTGTGTATGTATATATATGCTATTGGGAATTCTCGTCTTCTCGCAAATTGACCACCTTTCTTGTTAGAGAGATAGGAAAGTTCAATTGCAAATCTTTTTTTACTAGTGTGAATTGGGGGATAAAAGAGAGCACAACATGTGTTCCCGGTTGTCCATATTCATTATGAATGATGAACGTAAACATTCATGATAATGAATGTTTTCATTATTCAATAAATGATACATGAGTCACCCACCCATAATGAATGGTATACCTTTTGTGATGAATAACTCGTGAATGTATGGGAATTGGGACACGAGCACATGCTTCTCTATCACCCGGTTTACAACGGAACTTAGGTTTTTAAGGGTGCGTTTGGTACGCAGACATGACAGTACAGGACATGACATGACAGAACAGCTGTTCAGCGTTTGATAAAACATGACAGAACTGTACAGAACTGGTTAAAATGACCAATTTACCTCCAATGAGCTGTTTGGTGTTTTTTAACTAAATAATCAATGTAAATGTTAACAAATACGGTGTGCAAAATATAACTTACATCAAACCACTACTACTTGCAAAAATACATGATTTCATAATCAACTAATGATATATGAAAAAGGTAAATATAATATAAGCATCAAGAATCCATTATCGAAGCAAATCTATATGTATTCCATACTAAGAAGAAAAAACTACTACCAACAAGCGCACAATCAATTAAAATGGATTAAATATCAAATAGTAAATAAAATATAAGCATCAAGATAACAATTTGGCTAGTGATCTCATATAGTGTCATCACATTCACAAAACTTGGATTCCAGAAAACAAAAGAATTCACCTATCACCTGTACAATCACTCATGTAAGATCAAAATCGAATATTTACTACTCTGATCAAGGTAAAACATACAAAACTCATCGAAAACAACAAATTGCATGCGCGAACCTTACGCAATACGTTTGACAGTGATAAAATCAAGAAAACAATTTATGTAATTTATTAAATTATAATAGAATAAGTATTTTTTATAACAAAATATATCGTTTGAAGTTTTCGTCAAAACAATTAAAATGACACCAAATAAAAAGTTTATGTGGTTTTCTATTTTTATTTTTATTTTTATTTCTATTTCGTTTCTACATTATTTTTTATTATTAATATATAATAAATTACATAAATTAATAAAAATATAGAAACCGTATAAAAATAATATTTTGAGGACAATAAAATGAAAGTTTAAGAAACATAAAATATAATAAATAAAATTTAAAGAATGAATAAAATGTAAAAGAAAGACATATTTGATGTTTTAGAAGAGAATTAAGTTTTATTTTGAGGTTATATTGGTAAAATATAAGTCTGTTCCACTTTGTTCCATTCTGTTCCTGTCTGTTCCACATAAAATTCATGCCAAACATGGGACAGGGATCTCTGTCATGTCCCTGTCCTGTGTACCAAACGCACCCTAAGGGTGCGTTTGGTGTGCAGACTGGACAGGACAGGACAGAACTGGACAGGACAGGACAGAACAGGACAGGACAGAACAGAACAGGACAGGACAGCTGTTCAGCGTTTGGTAAGACTGGACAGGACAGGACAGAACTGGTTAAAATGACCAATTTACCCCCAGTAAACTGTTTAGTGTTTTTTCACTAAATAATCAATATAAATGTTTACAAATACTATTTAAAAATACCAAAAAAACTCACATTCCAACTACATTCATCAATATGCATCTATTCTACAATTCTCAATTATGAATTTTTCCTCAAAACAACACTAGCAACAAACATATTTCTTAACAATGTGAGCTAACTCTTCATCATTTTCAATGAACTAGCAACAAACATATTTGTTGAGGACAAGAGCCCAAACTGATTTGCTTAACAACTTCGATCTGAAATGCTTCTGGATCTTCCCTAGCACTCAACTCCAAAGCCATTTGTATTTGATACTCTTCTTCTACCTCTGGATCCCTAGAGTTACCAGACCCTAAATCCCAAGTCCTAACCTCATCCATGGCAGCATCAAGTGCACTACTACTAACAGAATCAAACCCTTCAATCCTCTCTGTTGTTTTCAAATTTGAAGATGATGGAGGGCTAGGACTTAGCTTATTCGTTACAGAATTAAGCCATCCAGCAATTCCAGATAAGGGTTTATTAAGTTCATGGGTCTCAACATCACTCAACCTCCGATTACTCTTTGAAGAAGAAGATGAAGACCGTTCCGGGTTCAAGATAAACCCACGAAGAACCTCTTTTGCAGGTCCACATCAAACAAACCACCACCGACGAGATCAAACAAAGCAAAAAAAATCGATTAAAACCAGCAAACCCAGATGCTTCTAATCAGCAACAAAATCGAGATGAAGCAATCGTGTACCTGAGTATGGAGAGAGGAAAAGTCGCCGATTTAGGTAGAAGTCGCCGCCGATTGAGTAGAAGTCGCCGCCGATTGCTGTGAAGCGATGGAGGCGGATACGGGGAAAGGGTGTGGGGAAGAAAGGGGTTGAAGGAAGCGATGGAAGCAGAAAGGGTAGTGTGGTAAAAAACTTTATGTTCCACTTAGTTCTAGGGGGTAAGGGTGAACAACCCTGTCCCACTCTTGTTCTACTTAGTTCTACTTAGTTCCACATAAAGCTACACCAAACATAAGACAAATGTGTTCTGTCCTGTTCTGTCCCACCCTGTCCATCGCACCAAACACACCCTAATTGAACTCGCCCATATGTACAAGAGTGTAAATGAGCCGAGTCAAGTAGTAGGCTATTCGAGCCCGAATCAGAAAAATAATACCAGACTCAAACTCGAATAACTTTTTTAAAGTAGGACTCGAGCTTAAACTCGGATATTATTTTTAATTATCAAGTTTGAGCTTGATGGTCGTTTATAGACTTGAATTCATAATCGATTAACTCGTTTATTGGCTTAAGCTCAGCCCTTTTAAAGCATATGAGTAAGAAAGTATAACTATGTAACAAATAAAACATTCTGTTCTAGCATATTATAATTGAACTATATACAAAATTACATGGTGCAGTAATTGTTGAATTAGAGTTGCATGTCCCGAACAATAAAATTGCACTCTTCATTTTCATTCAAAAGCAACGATAAAAACGTGACTTATACCAACAATGAGCTCCACCTTGAACGAATGAATATCAATGACGGAATTTTAAACCGAAAAGTCCAAAGTCCTCCAACGAATTTGAGCAAATCTCCAAACAAACATCAAAATCTTCGAATGCTCCACACTCGCTGTCAATATCTTCAGAACACTCCAAATGACAATAAAACAAAGCCAAACAAAAAACCAAGTTTGTAGGCCCAATTGTTTGATAAGAACCAGATCAAGTAGAATGTGTTCCGCAACACAAAGAAAGAACGAAAACCAAAACTCACATCAAATCTTGCGAAGAGCAGAAGATCACAAGGGTTTTCAAATGCCGAAGATGTCACTTCTAATCTAATCAACCTTTGTTGATGAATCTATGAACGGCGACCCAAACACACTTGTCTATAACTGTTTGACCAAACAAATAATCATGTTGATAGAACCACCAAATTTGGGGCGTTTCAGTCACCCCTTTACGATCCATATACGACGAGAAACTCCTCTCAGTCACTCGGTGTCCTTCCTTCCGAGTTTGGTTGTTCAAAACGAATTTGGTGGGTGTATCCAAAGAGTAGCAAACAAATCAAGGTGATTTATGCACAAACGAAATACCCAAAGACGTAGTCTTCGAACAATGCTTTAAATACACACTATGAAATAAAAGCGAAGCTCTGGTATCACTTGTTGAGTTTGTATCACATGTCACGAACAATAAAGTCGCAATCTTTATTCAAAAGCAACAATAAAGACATAACCGCTACCAACAACGATGTAGAACAAACAAATCAAGAAACAAGATGAGTAATAAGACACGATGTCGATTATACAATCAAAGAGAAACTGAAGCTATATGATTGATCTTTATTCACTAAAGAGAAACTGAATCGGGAAAAAAAAGTTACAGACCAATAAAAGATTGTGATGCAAGGTCAATGCTAAAACCGAGTCTTCCAATGTATTACTCTCTAAATATCATGGTAACACAAGGGTTGTACTTATCTAACAACCCAAATGAATTCTAAAGCTATATGAATACTGAAAACTGGAATTTTTGGATTTATCAATGGACACAGATGAATACAGTAATTGGTCAACTCCTCTAGTTCGATTGTCTTGGACATGTTTATAGATCACATCAATTTGATATTTTTTTTATTAACCTGGATATTCAACCCGTTATGCGAGCCGATTAATACCAGGACGACCACCTGCTTTTTTAGATATCCCGGAGTCACCGCATTTGAACCTCCGTAGCCACAAGGGGATTTTTATTTCTCCTTGGATTTAAACCTTGGACCTCCTGATACTTTTGATCTTTGGAGCCAAGTTCAAACCAATCAGGCATCACCTTTGTGGTTCACTTTGATCATTTCGTACCAACTTAAAAAGTTTATGTTGTATTTGTGGGAATTTGACAGACGTAAAGACGAAAAGTGGGCTTGAAAAAGTCCACAAGAGCTTTTGTGAGGATTTTTCTGGCCATATTA